AGTGCAGATGCTGCTGGGTGTCTGGTTTGGTGCCAGGATCTTGCTGTGTTCTCGTAGTTCTTATTCTTTCGTGTTTACTCCTGGTTTTTTTGACGCTGATCTCCGTTGTTCCCCAGCTGACGGGGCTCGTCCTGCGGGCAGCCAAGCGCATGCAGATCAACGTTCACGTCAGAAAATTACCTGAGTTTTTGTAAGTGTTCCCTGCTGCCTGGGGGATGTCTCAGGGCTGATCTGGCATTCAGAATTAATTCCATCTGCAGTGCCCAGATGGAATATTGGTTGGAGAGAGCAGGTGTGAGAGAGGGAAATCCAGCTGAATCTCAGTCACAAGAGGCAGTGTCCCCTCTTCCCACAGATCCAGTAGATTTTGCAGTTCCAGCTGCAGAGTAAAGGCAGTATTCAAGAAGGGCAGGTAGATCAGGTACAGAGAAGTGTCTTGCCTGTAACTGCATTGGTATCAGAGAGAGAAATCTTTGCACTGCAGCTTTGGCAGTCAGGACAATCCTGCAAATGGGAACAGTGTAGAATCCCAGGTCACACGTGAGTAAAAATCCCCATTTTTATTTGATAGCAAGTGTGCTCTGCCGGTTTCCTGGGTGTCCCAGTGTGAGGGTCATGTCCCCAGATTGCAGCTCAGCTGTGCATAAACACTGTGCCCTTCATCCTATGTCTTCCTGACACCTTGTTTTATTTGTCACTGGTGCTGTGTGGCAGCTATTCCTCCTACTCAGCTGATGTTTACTGGCACAGCTTGGCTATAACAACTAAAAAGCATTTTATCTGGCCAATTCCCTTGGGAGAGTCAGAGACGTTCCTTCAGAACAGCAGCACCTTGTTTCCTAGTGCCCAGGAGCTGCCACAGTAACAACTTCTGCCTGAGCTGGGATTCCATGTGTGCCAAATGTTGAGGGATTTTTGCTGCTGTGCCCGTGTTGCTTGGACAATAGTTCCTGTGTTTTACAAAAAGGAGTAACCTCCAACGTCAGCTTAGCTTCACATTCCTGCTGCCTGGCACAAATCTGTCACTCAGTTAGGAATGAACTCCGTGTGGATCCCTCTCATTCTCTCCCCACCAAATCCCCAAAAATGCCACTGCTCCAAATCCAGACCGTGTGATTCACCTCGGAGACTGAAGTTGTTCTACCCCAGTAAGGGAGGTGAAAGCCAACTATAGAAAGCAACAGCCCAGAGGTGTTTTAGGGACACTTTCCTCATTCACTGTTCTATCATAATGTCTTCACAACCCTCAAGCTGAAAAGCTTCCAAACCGTAATTTTTGGCTGTTGTTTTATTTTTGACGCAGTGAAACGGGCAACATCCGAACTCTGGTTTTCCCAGTGATGTACCTAAATGAGGTAAATAGCTTTGTCCTGCCCTGGCAGCCTTGTGTTTGTGCTTGCAAAAACACCCTCTGTGAGCCAACCTAGAAAAGAAAATGCTGCTTTCCTTGTTGTTTTATACAGCGACAGGTAGGAAGCTGTTGCTGTTTCTTATCTAACACCCTCCTGCTGCTTGTTGACCATAGTGTTGAGTTCAGCCCTGCAAAACACCCTCAGTCAGACATTCCTTTTGGTTTTGAAGGAACTGGCCACGAGGAAAAGGGGGATGCTCGGGTGAGGAGGAGGGAATTCACAAGATAACATCTTTTTTTGATCCCTCTTTTGTGAATGTTCCTGTGCTGTGATGGGACCACTGAATTAATTGGATTCAGGGAGGACTCTAAGGGACTACTTTTGATGATGCACACCAATATTCCAGGCCTGTATTAGTCCTTTCATAATCCAAAAGTTAAACATCCCAGTTTTCCTTGGAAATACAGACCAGGTGATCCCTCTGGCCCCTGGAAGAATTCTTGGAAGGGGAGAGAGTATGTCAGGACACAAGGAAGCAGTGGTGGAGAGCTGTGGGAATGTTGTTTCCCTGCCCTTCGCAGAAGTGATCTTATATAAAGAACAGAAATAAGTTCTTTCTCTTTTTTTCTCCTTCATCTCTCTGCTCCAGAGTGTTCTGATCGATGAGGCCTCTGCCAGCAAACTCAGGCACGTCCTGCTGGAAGCCAGCGTTGTAACTGGAATCCCCTTTGTAATCATGGCTCTAGGGATTGCCTTTGGGATAGTTTTTACCGTGCTGGTGTGCAGGTCCCGGGGGACAAGTGAAGAGGTAAGAAGCACTTGAACTTCCTTACTGCCCACCTGCCTGTATTTGATTTTCTTTTGGTTGATTTGACCCGTTTGGTGTCTCTCTGCACGCGTTTTTATATGTTGTTTTTGTTTAAAATGACCTTTCCAGGGAGGGGAAGTTTTAATAGACTCAGAATAAACCCGCCAAAGCAAAGGAATGGAGTTAATCTAAGAAACCTGGTAAGGCAGGTCGTGTGTCTGTGCCTAATTCCCCTGCCAACAGCAGTGAAAAAATAAATCAGCCTGTCTAGAGGACCCTGAAGGATAACATGCAAAAATCTGAGGGCAGATTCAGTTGGCAGTCTGTCAGTGTTCTCAGTAGAAGCAGCTGCGTTGTGCCAGTGGATTGTTTTTGAATTTATGGCCAAAGGACAGCTGAATCTCACAGACAGCAGCCTGTAGAGAGTCTTCTCTGAAGAGTTTGTAAATCTGTTTATGAAAAGTTCTGTCACAAGGCGACACACTGGCATTAACGTGCTTGTCAGGGTGAAAGCTGGTGCTAAAATTTCACCCTAACAGGCAAGTCAGTGGGGCTCAGATGACACAAACTGTGGAGCCTTTGTTTAGAGAAGTACTGGGTACTCTAGGAGGCTGTTTTGTCCTTGTAGTTGCTGTGGGCTTAGTGTGGTCTTGTGTGTTTAGTGTTCCCTGAGTGCTGCCTTACAACCTCCAGAGCACCCAGCCACCCCTCTGGATCAGTGGGTCCCATCACATCCCAGTGGAACTGTACTCCAGGCTCCTTTCAGGAGAGGCTGGTCCTTTTTCCTTGGAGCTTTGGAGCCTGCCTGTGTTATCAGCAGCTCAGAGAATCAAACTGTCCCGTTGCCCAAGGCCTGTCCCAAGCATTCCTGCCCCACCCCTACATGTACAGCTCTCCTGGATGTGCTGGAATGCTCCACGGGGATCAAAATGACAAAGGGGCACCTACATTCCATGTTTTCTCTGCTTTGCTTTAGTTGCTTTTCCTGCAAATAAAGGTAATTCAGCAGTTTGTAGCTCTCCTTGTGATCCCCCGGGTGGTTCTGGCCTTCCGTCCTCTGTCAGGTGCTGCAGCAGGTCCCTGCCCAAGCTGCCACCCACCCTCTGGTGCTTTTTTAGGAAATTGTACTTAGCAGTAGGAGCCAAGAGCTTTTCCCTTCCCTGCCTGGGGTCTGGGCAGCCCAGCTGGAGGCACTGTCGTGTGCCACCTTTAAACTGCTGTGGTTTTTCTCTTCCAGAGTACTGAGGAGGAGAGGTCCCCGCTCATCAGGACGTCTTAGTAGATTTTCTTTACCATGTAAGCTTGGAGAGTGAACTCTTAGAGCTGAGCTAACACCAACTACCACTTCCCAGCGTGTCCCCTGCGGAGACATGGCCGTGTCCACATCACTTTTTGTGGGACAGAGCTGGAAGAGAACCCGCCCCGTCAGCCAGGGAGGAGGCTTTTCTCGCCAGCTGCTTTAAAACTCCATTTTAAAACTGCTCCAGACCCTGCTTTTCTCACCCCTGCCCTCTGTGTGTACACATGGGGGGCCATAACCACTGTGTGGGCGGCAGCACACCGGCCTCATTCCCTACGGAAACGACACGGGAAGCCTCTGCAAACGGCTCTCTGGGAACACAGCAGGCTCCTGCGTGGCCCGGGGACAAGGGACAGTCCTGCTGGTGGTGTCTCTGCTGTAACTTAGTCCCGAGTGTTTGTTACTCATGTCCTTTACAGCATTGGTGTGTCACTAACCCCAGCCAGAACTTTGTGCAGCGCCGGCGGCTCCAGGGTGGAACCAAACGGCTGGAAACGCTTTTCCACACCCACCTCCCGGCTGTCCCCACCGTGCATGTTTGCCTGGCTTTCGTCCTTGGGGTTTGGGGTTGTCCTTCAGCTTAGAAACCCACGGCTCGGCGTTGTTCCTGGGGCGGGGGGGGGCACAGAGCTGGGGGTTTGGCCTGGGGGTTTGGGGTGAACTGGGCATGTTTGGGATGGGAGCAACCCTTCCGTGTTAAACATGGACGGGGGCCCGGCAGCTCCTCGCACTGTTTTTTACTTGTCAAGCACAAACTTGTTTTAAAAATCACAAGTGTTGTTGGGGTTTTTTTTCTCCCCCCCCCCAATTAAAAGACTGTTCTCGTGTGTTTCCATTAGACAGTGAAACGTGTTTTAAAAAGGCGTTATTGTCTTATGACCAGGGGCATTTGGGGTTTGCACTGGTTGGGTTTGGGGGGGTTGTCCTGGCTTGTGCTCCGGTGTTATCCCTGCGAGGTTGGTGAGAGGCTGGAATGGAATTCCCGGAGAAGCTGTGGCTGCCCATCCCGGCGACTGCCCAAGGCCAGGCTGGACGGGGCTTGGAGCAACCTGGGATAGTGGGAGGTGTCCAAAGGAATGGTGCCGGGAGGGGGACAGCGGGAACTGTGTTTCCAGAGTGAGAGAATCCAAGGAATCCCGCGGGAGGGGACGCAGGGATGGGGAAATCCCGGCCTGGGGCGACCTGTAGCTGAGAATATTTTCGTCCGCGCCATCATTTTTAATCCCTGTTCAGCCCAAAGAAGGGCATTTTCTCCCTTCGATACACGGGGGAAAGAGCTGTTTGGGTTTATTACCGTTAATTATCCCTTTATTTCCCTGTCTCCCATGGTACAGTCCCCCGCCCCCCCCCTCTTCCGCCCTACAGCCAGCTGGCGCGCGCCGATTACGCAAGCGCCCGGCGCCCGCGCGTCGCGTCGTCCGCGCCACCCGGAAGCGCTTTGGCGGTAGAGGCGGTGTCTCGTGCGGCCGGTTTTGTTCGCGGCCGGACCCGCCGCGGGGGCTCGCACGCGCCTCCCGCGGGGGATCTCCCCCCGCGCCGCCACCCGAGCGGCCCCATGGCCTTCAACTTCGGCGCGACGGCGGGAGCCGGGGCCGCCAACCCAAGCGGTGAGCGCAGGGGGAGCGGGGCGGGGCGGGGTCGGGAGGGGCGGGGGGAGCCGGGCGGCGGGCAGCGCGCGCCCCCCCTCCGGCCAATGGGAACCGCGGCGCGTGCCCCTCGGCCAATGAGATCCCCGGCCCGCTCAGCGGCCCGCGCGTGCCCCCCCACCAATAAGGAACGACCGCCGGCAGCACGTGCGCCCCCGGCTTTGAGACCCGCACGTGCCCCGCGCGCGATAGGAACCGCCGTGGCGGCCCGCGCGCGCCCCCCCGCCAATGGGAACCGCAGCCGCCTCAGAGCCCACGCGCGCCCCCCCTCCAATGGGAACCGCGGTGGCGGCCCGCGCGTGCCCCCCCGCCAATCGGAACGGCGGTCGCCTCAGAGCCCGCGCGCGCCCCCCCGCCAATGGGAACCGTGGCCGCCTCAGTGCCCGCGCGTGCCCCCCCGCCAATGGGAACCGCGGTGGCGGCCCGCGCGTGCCCCCCCGCCAATCGGAACGGCGGTCCCCTCACGACCGCCCCTCAGTGCCCCCCCCGCCCCGGCCACGACGGGACCCGCGAGTCGCTGCCGGGGCGCCCGTGACGGGGCCGTGCGGCTCACTCCGGGCAGCACTTTGCTTGCAATGACGTTCCCGCTTGGATGAGGTGGCCTGGGAAGTTCGCTTTTGGGCAAGGTAAAACACGGATTTTAACTTGTAAAGGAAGAAAAACCTTTTCCCCCCTCTTATTTTGTCGCTGTCAGTCGCGGTGAAGTGTAATCCTGAGCCTTCCTTACGCTCACTTGGTAAAAGAAATCATTGCTGGCTCCTAGTAGACTGTCTGAGCAAGTACTTTGGGCAGGTCCCACGTTCACTGCAGCTAACCTGAATTTTACTGTGTGATTTCCCACTCCGAGTGTTTCACACGCTCTTTCTGACCCCATCTGAAAGTGAAGAATAGCCTCGTGCTGTTTGTACACCGTGACAAGGTTTATTACACACACAGCCCAATATCAGAGGGAATTCTGGGATCGCATCCCAGGTCTTCCCTCTGTCTGTGCAGCATGGACCTGTCCCAGCTGCACCCTGGGCACACTGAGATGGGATGCAGAAGGTAATTCACCAGCAAGGCTGGGGTGGGCAGATTTTGGGATGTAACTTGGGTAAGTCCACCCTGGAATAACTGAGGCATGTGTAGTGCCTCAGCTGATGGAGGTGTGTTTTCATACTTCCAGCAGTGATGTGTGGAGCTTTTAACTGTCCTCCTTGTGTCCAATGAATAATACCTTACTCTTGTTTTTAACTGTGCCTGTCTGGTCCACGGGGATGTAAAAATGTTTCAGGTTTTCTCTCCTGCCTTTTACTCAGAAGAACTAATGTTGCCTTGCTCTTTTTCTGCTTCCCACTCGTCAGGATTTGGTGGGCTTGAAACTGCAAACTCCACTGCCAGTGGGTTTAATTTTGGGGGTTTCGGATTAACTGCTAATCCTGCGGTGAATTTTAATATTGGGAATTTCGGTGTTTCCACTACCTCAACTCCACCGTTCAATTTTGGTAACAGTCTGGCAAGTGCAGGTAGATAATGAGGAATACTTGTTCTGTGGTAAATGTTCCTAGCAGGGGTCCAAGAATGACATCCCTAACTGGGAATCTGGGACAGTACTAATCTTCCTATCCAGTGAAGACTGGGGAGAAAAGCTCTGGAAGTGGAGTGGGTCTGAGAGCCATAGGCTTGTAGGGGTTTTGCCTGTTAAATTCTGAAGGAATAGCTTTTAAAGGAAAAACAACCCTGTACCAAATACTCAGTCTCTGAAATGGGAATGAATTGGGGTCACCCACCAGTCTGAAATTGGGCCTCAGTCAGAGCCAAACGGCGCCGTCAGGTCTCCATTCAGATCCAGGCGATTCCGAACAACCCCAGAGCTGCTCCCTGTGCCACGTTTCCTGACGTGAGATTCTTGGACTGCTGCAGTCATGTTTTCATCTTCCCCCTGTGTTCTCATTGGCCTTGCGTTGGCTGTCATGAATGCACCACACCCCAGCAGTTTCTGTGGAGAAACAAATTGTATACGACCGGCACAAAAGCACGGCCCAGCTCTGACCTGTTCCCCAAATGCTGCTGAGCATCCCAAAACCTCCCCGGCTCTCCGGAGGGAAGCTCGGTGCTCCGGGAAGGGCCCTGGGTGTCATGGGTGTGCTGGGTGGTGGTTAAGAATACCCTTCGTGGCCCCATATAGAACCATTGGTGATGTGATTTCACCTTAAATCTTTCCCATTTCGTGTGAAAACACTGGGCTGGATGGATTTCTAATGCCTTTGCTCATGTGGAATTATCCCGGGGATCCCGTTGCCGCTGCTCGTATAGGAATTCCATCCATTCCACAGTGCCATCTCTCCCTTTGTCAGCGACTGTCACCTGCTGTGTGCACTCCAGGGACCTGGTTTTATTTGGGTTTATTTGCTGGGGACACTCTTGGACTGTATTTCTTTGGCTGAATTTGAGCTGCTCCAAAAGAGAACTTGGGCACTGAATTTGGTTTCCCGATTTGCACTCTCAGATCCCTTTCAAAAAAAGGATGACTAAAGAGTACAAAACGACCTAGAGACTGTGTCATCTGCTGGTGCTCCTGACAGGGCGTTTCACTGGCTGGTAGGACAGAAATATGGATGTTAGAGGGAACAACTTCTTTCAACCACTGGCATTAATATGACTGCTGAACGGAAATAAAATGTGATTGCACGTCAGCCTTGGTTTAAGCTTTTTAACTTGACTCTGTACAGGAGGACTGTGAGTGTAGTAGTTTTAAAGAACTTTTTTTTTTTTTTTGGCATAGGCATGTGAGTTAGCAGTGGCAGCATCTTTTTGACAAATCCTTTGTAGTGTCTTTTTTCATTTGAACATGTGTCAAGCCAGGCAGACACAGAGAGAACTTGGTTTCCTGGGCTGTCAGCACTCCACAGGCTGCACCTTGGGCAAGTGCTGCATTGGCACCACTGGAGCTCAGGCTCTCCCTTAGGCCCTCTGCTGCTGCCCATTGACTGCTTTTCCTGAAAATCTGTGGGAGACTGATTGCTTTTGCATCCATCTTCCTATACTAGTGGTTGAATCTCTGAATGAGGTTTAATGGGGAAGATAATAGGGAATCTAGGCTTAAAGAAGAAAGAACCTTCTAGAATTTTACCTGTGAATTTTCCCTGTAAGCACTGTGACCATGGGCACGCTAGCCTCAGGCTGTGATTTATTTCAAAGGGTTAGCAGTGTTTGAAAAGTTTAGAAAACATCAGGTTGTTTGTTAAACACCCAGCAGTGACATTGAGCAGAGGTATTCCTGAGAATGAATGTAAGCAATACTACCATTAGTGGTGTCTGTCACAAGGGAAAGCACATCCTGCTGGTAAAGGAACAGGATGTCAGTTGTCAGCTGCCTTTTTGTTTACTCTCTTGACACACCACACAAGTTCTGGCTTTCTGGTCCATGTTTTCTCCCCCATTTCCTCAGACAACAAGCTCGATCCCCCAGACCGTTGTGAAGCACATGCTTGTGACATGTCCCATCCATGTGTCAGACCTGTTCTCATCACACCCCGCAGTGCGGTCGCTCGTGGTGCTGTGTCCGCTCTGCTCCGTGAGCCGCTGCCTGACTCCCGCTCTTTGTTTGGCAGGAGCCTTCGGAGGGTTTGGCACCACCACCACCACCACAGCACCGGCGTTCAGCTTCTCTGCTCCCACCAACACGGGCACTGGCGGTAAGAGAGTCTGACCTGTTGGCTTTAGAACAACCCATGAGTGCTTTGGATTGCACAGGCACTATCCTCCTCTTCTCTCAAAAATCCTCTCCTTTTCCCCCCAGGACTCTTCGGTGCCACCCAGAACAAAGGCTTTGGATTTGGCACTAGTTTTGGCACAGGAACTGGAACTGGCTTGGGTAGTGGGTTGGGAACTGGGCTGGGCTTTGGAGGCTTCGGAACCCAGCAGCAGCAGACCAGTGAGTATGGCCTTCTCTGCACTTACCCCTCTCTTTGCAGTGAGAGTGTAAGACTGTCACAGTTACTCAGGTAGCGGGACAGAAGTGCACTGTAAAAGGAGGCTGTTACACACTTACCTCCTGATTGAGGGAGACTCCCTCAGAAATTTGGCATTTGAAGTGCCTATATTTGCAGCACTTGCCTTTTTCTTAACTAACTTTACTAGAGCTCAAGCAAGTTCCTGAGCTTCTGACAGTATGTACGAAATTGTAGTTACAAAATTGATGTTGCAGTCACAACATTACTAGAAAGGGGAGGAAAACAGCATTTAAAACTCATGTGTTTAAATGTGAGTTGGATAATGAGCTGCTGCAGGCTCTGAGTCTGCTGAGTTTGTAACAACCAACCTGCCCTTCAGGTTTAGATATTGAAGGTGCCAGATGATCCCGTGGATCACTACAGACCTCTTGTTAAAGAATAAAGAAAAATTAATTTTCTTCTAACTCAGCATTCAAGAACTACTGTTGTAGTTGAGGATTAGGAGTAAAAAAAAATTATTTATTTATTCTGTGCTTTTATTCTGCTTCTCAGAATGTGAAGTGGTGCCAATGATAGGTGATAGTAAGTGAGTCTGGCGTGGTTAGTCAAGGAATTAATTTGGATTTTCCGTCCACCACAGCGTTAGGAAGCGGGTTGTTCAGCCAGCCTGCCCAGACACCCGCCCAGTCCAACCAGCTCATCAATACAGCCAGTGCCCTGTCGGCTCCGACGCTCCTGGGGGATGAGAGGGATGCCATCCTGGCCAAGTGGAATCAGCTGCAGGCCTTCTGGGGAACGGGCAAAGGTTACTTCAACAACAACATCGCTCCTGTGGAGTTCACACAGGAAAACCCCTTCTGCAGATTTAAGGTAAGGAGATGTACAGCTGCCCACAAAGGGCTCTGACACCCTTATTCTGTTTGCTGGGTCTGAGCATCTCATGGGTGTTAAATCAGATTTTGTTACTGGTAAGAGTATTCTGAAACAGTGTTTTTCCAGGTAATCCACACAGTTCTGGTGCATGCTCATTAAAAGGTTCGAAGATGCTGGAAATCTGGGTGGTGTGGAGGGACTAGATCATGAGCCCAGATGTGGATCATAAAAGTAACATTTTCTAATAGCATTCAGGTTAGTGTGTGTGTCACTGGAGCAAGTCTCTGGAAATGAATTTTAATGTGTATTTGTGGAAGTGACAGTATGACAGAAACCATGTAAAATAACTGTGTTAAAATAACCCTCTATGAACCTGGCCTGTGCCAGGTTTAAAGTCCACCAGCCTTCAGATTTGTGCCTTTTTCCCCTCCCATGCTCACACTGTGTGAGCTCACATGCTCCATTCCCTGTCTGAGATCGTCAGCAGTTCTCCTGTGGACAGAGAATTCGTGGCTCTTCATCCTCCGCCAATCCCGCCCCCTCTGACTGCCTTGCTAAGCCTCAGGCCTGGCAGGGATTTGGGGCAGGTGTGGTGATACCCTCCTTCCCCAAGCTGATTCTTACTTTGAGACTTGAATGTAGGTTAATACTTAATTAAGTCTAGTTTTGATTATGCACATCCTGAGACTTGTATAAAATTTTTGCAGCAACCAAGTGCCTGCCTAACAAATGTTTGGCTTGTGTTGCATCGCCTTATTCAGTGTTACCTTGGATATTTTGTTGGCAATGCACCTGGAAGCTTACTTTATTGTAAGTTGTTGTCTGAAATCGCTTTAGAGGCTTTGAAAAATTGTCAAGTGTAAGTTGTGTCACGAAAACTCAGTTATTTTAGAGTTTTATTTACCAAAAAGAGTGGTTTTCGTTTTAGACAATGCCACGTACTAGGTTCACTCTTGTACCTATGACTTGAGTGTTTCTAATGCTGTTATGAATTCATATACCTTAAGTGAAACACTGAAAAATCCCATCTATGCCAGCAATGGAAGATGCCTAAATAAAATAGGGAGAAGTTGGTGGCACAGGGATAGGAACAAAGCATCATGAACTAGTTTGGTTATTGCCTCTGAAAGCGTCAGGCACCTGATAAGAATGAGGCACTACCTGGAGGGTTTCACAGGCGTTCAAGGAATCCACTTGTACACACTTCCAGGTCTAGGGCAAATGGAAAGCACGCAGCTCTTAGCCAAGAAAAGTGTGCTTCTAAAGTTCGTGTTACAGGCTGCTGTTTGAAGGACCACAGTTAAGTAAATAAAATGTCATAGTTTGAAAATATTTTGTTGCATAAAAAATCATGAAGGATTTATTTATTTAAAACACAAATAGCAGAGGAGTGATGTGCTTAAAACCAGATTCTTCCCTGGCTGTCACTGTTATGCTCTATGACAGGATGGCTGATTTTGTGAGGCTCACTGTGGCAGGGGATTACTCACTGCTGACAAAACCAGGCTCTGGGGCACATCCCCAACTCGTTTCTCTCTTCAGCTGAACTTGCAGGAAGGGAAAGGTGCAGGTCACCCACCCACATGCAGTGTCAGGGCCTCAAAAAGCCCCCACTGTCCACCCTGTCACCTGTGGTGTGTTGGTGTGACAGCTCTTAGGCAAGAGGAGATGAAAGCTGCCACTCTGCTTCTGCACGTAATGAGATCTGGTCCTCTGGTCCCTTTTGCTGTTTGGGAAAAGGGTAAATTTTAAAATGTTCCTGATTTGCTGTCAGCTCTGCTGAACTCCCAATCCATAGGTTTTTCTTTAAGATGGGGAATCGCTACTTAGGAACTTTTTGTAAAAATCCGATCTGTTTCAAAAGCTGCTCTACTGATATTTGTGTGAGAGAATGATTTAGAGAAGGATTGATTTTATGTTTCTGCAGCTCTGAATATGTTGTAAGTTAAATTTTGAACCAATTGCTCTAATCAGAGGGGTTTATCCTGTCCCCTTCATGCCACACTGGATATACTTTTGCTGAGTAATACATCCTCATTTTTCATTTGTCCCTTTGCAGGCTGTGGGTTACAGTCTAATGCCCAACAACAAAGATGAAGATGGCCTCGTGGTTTTGGTGTTTAACAGAAAAGAAGCAGATATTCGAAGCCAGCAGCAGCAGCTCGTGGAGTCACTACACAAAATTCTGGGGGGAAACCAGACCCTCACTGTCAACGTCGAAGGGGTTAAAACGATGCCAGATGACCAGTATGTGAACTTCCCATAGTTCTGCCTTTTTATCCAGTACTGCATGTTGGAGAGGGTTGGTGCTTTAAGTGTACTGCCTCCCCTTCTCCTTGATTTTGGATCTATTCATCCTGAGTTCGATTTGTATCTCTCACTCCTTCATATTGCTTTTTATTAAGGCAGTAAACCTTTCCAGAGGTTTTAGGTTATTCCCAATGTAGTACTAGTGTCACCATATAATGTAAAGGTATGCACAGCTTTCCTCTCTCTGCCTCGCTGTGTTAAACCCTGCAGTTACTGGTACTTCACATCTCGGTGAGCTAAAGGGAGTTAAGAGCCAGCCAGGAGAAGTGGTCGGTTGGATTTCGGGCTGGTTTTGTTGTGTTAGTTCCTGCACGCTGCTGCCCCTTTGCTGACATTCTGCGCTTTGCCTTACTCAGGACAGAGGTGATCATTTACGTTGTGGAGCGCTCGCCCAACGGCACCTCGAGGAGAGTTCCCGCCACCACCCTCTACACCCACTTCGAGCAAGCCAACATCAAGTCGTCCCTGCAGCAGCTGGGGGTCAGCCTCTCCATGGCCAGGACAGAGCTGTCCCCAGCACAGGTCAAGCAGCTCCTGCAGAACCCTCCTGCCGGTACGTGGGCTCTGCTTTTGGGGATAAACGCAGGTGTCAGCCCACTGGAAAACACCTTCGAAAGCTACAAGGGCTACACACAGTGCACATGCAGCTTTGTGTTAGAGTAGTTAAGTGTTCTTCATGCCATTTCATAAGATAACTTATCTTTACGTCTATAGCTTTAATATATGTCTGTGTTTAAGATATGAAAAGCTATGAAATCAGGATTGCAAAAAGAACTGGGCCTACTCCTGCAGAAAAATCAGAGCTAGTTCTTGCTGGGATTACTTTGCCAGCTGGTTTTGGGTTTTGATCATTTATTTACTGATTTTTTTAATATTTGGTTTTTTTACACAACTTGAAAAGGACAGATGACCCAAGTGTGGAATACAGTGGAAACAGTAGGAATTTCTCCCTTTAATGTATGAATTATATGGGTTGTTCCTTTCCCCTGCCCTCAAACAAGCAGGGGCATGTGACAGCCTTTGGGACTGAACTTACTGCCACAGCTCAGGAACTGGACTTTTAAGAACTACCCTCATTTAATTAACCTTAATTTGTGTCACAGTTCAGCATAGTTCATAGGGTTTGTGTATGCCATAGCAATTTTTCCTGCTTAAGAGCTGTAAGATGAGAAAGCTATTCAGATTTATCCATACTAAAAAATTCCTTTGTTTGTTTTTTCCAGGTGTTGATCCTATTATATGGGAACAAGCCAAAGTTGATAATCCTGATCCTGACAAGTAAGTCCAATAGTTTGAGTATTGTAACAAAACTTGGAAAGGGGAGAAAGATAATAATTGCATAGTACCCTCCAGGTAACTTGCAAGAAGCATATTAGAGAAGAACTTGGCCAAGTGTTGATCTGCTTGCAAACACTGAAGATTACTAGAAGTGCCTCTGTTAATCCCTTTACCCTTTAGGTGCTTAGGAGCTGTCAGGATAAAGAGCCTTACTCACATGACTCAGAGCTGTGGTGTCCTCCAGTGCCTGCACTAGTTATTGTGACTTGTGTTTTGCAACCATTACGGTTTTTTCCCCTCTTCTTGCAGTTGAGGGTGATGCACCTTTGTACCCTCAGTAGCTACAGATAATTTGGGCTGATTTCTTTACAACAAAGGACCAGGTTGTTGGGAATAGTGAGGACACTAGATCTTAGCAAAAGAAGATATTTTTATTTATTAGCTTACAAAAGGCCATGATTATCTGTAACTTCATATTAGACTCTATTCATAACTATTAATCTATACCACATGTCCAATAAAAAAAAAAAAGATGTGTTGCAAGAAACATTTGTGTTTTTTCAGGCTTATTCCTGTGCCAATGGTGGGTTTCAAGGAACTGTTGAGAAGATTGAAGGTCCAAGATCAGATGACCAAGCAGCATCAAACTCGATTAGATGTAAGGTTGCTCATCGTTATCATGACTGCTTGCTACTACTGAAAGATGTGCTATTAAAATAAACCTCCCCCTGTGGCTCCTGTGTGTTGAAAACTGAAACCAGAACCATGTTGTTAATGTATTTCTTAAATATATCTTTTGCCCAAAAGGGAGCAGCATGGTTTCGCTGTTGTTTCGGGGTCAAGCTCGCTGTGTTGTTAGAGTAAATTAGACTAGCTCAATGAAAGTATGCTGGTATGGACTCTAGGCAACCAGTTTTCCAATGCCTTCTGAAAATCTCAGTTGCAGATGAAAACAAATACAAAGGAGAATAGTTGAGGTAGCAGAAGGCTTTCTAAAAGCATCTGTGGCAAGGACATGAAGTTGCTGGGCTGGGTACTGCTGTCAAACTCCCCATTTCAAATCAGGAGTGACGTGTTCTGTTATCACAAACTCCTCTGACTTCCAACTGCCTCCGTGTCCTCTGCAGATAATATCAGAAGATATCAGCGAGCTGCAGAAAAACCAAACGACAACTATGGCAAAAATTGCACAGTACAAAAGGAAGCTGATGGCGCTTTCTCACAGAACATTACAGGTAACAGGGGTAGTGTAAATAGCTCCTTTGACACACAGTCTAGTGCCAGAGAGGGCAGGAGGACCTGTGCCAGCTTGTGCAGAACCAGTGTTGAAAAGGGAGTTCTGACTTCAGCTAAATGGTTTTCATTTAAGTACCAGGCAGAGCTGTTGGGGAAAGCTTTAGGTCCATGGTACTTGGGAACCTTCTCTCTCCCTTCTTAGGGCAGTCCTGTGGCTCCTGGGTGTCTCAGAGCAGCAGACTAAGTGACAGAAAAGTTCAATGAGACCCATGCTGGAAGAAGGACAAAAAGACATATGAACGGAGTGGTGGGGAAAGAGATGGGCCAAGTCTTCTCTACTGAACCTATAAGGCTTCTTTTGTAGGTGTTAATAAAGCAGGAGATCCAAAGGAAAAGTGGTTATGCCATCCAAGCAGATGAGGAGCAGCTCCGTGTACAGTTGGATACAATTCAGTGCGAACTTAATGCACCAACACAGTTCAAGGTAGGTAGTTAGTAGAACTCTGCTACTCTTTTCTTACCAAAAAAAGTTAGTTTTCCAAACCATGCATGTATGTTTGTTGTGCAAAGCTGTCAGCAGTCCAGCAGCATTACCAAGGCTAGCATTGCAGACGTTGCTGCATGACCAATAATTACTTAAGTATTTTTGAGTTCTTGGAAGTATTTGAGTCACATGCCCTTTGTACATCTTCCAAAACATTTAAAAATTGAATGAGCAGCAACAGTTCCAGTCCTGGTGACTCAAGCAACAGTACATGGTGGAGCTCTGGCAGATGTTTGATTGAAGCCTGTTTCTCCTGCAGGGCAGACTGAATGAGCTCATGTCCCAGATCAGGATGCAGAACCACTTTGGAGCAGTGCGAGCTGAAGAGCGCTATTACATAGATGCAGACCTCTTAAGGGAAATCAAGCAAGTAAGTATGACTGGGTAGGATCCTCTTTGAACTTCATTTAAGCCAGATACACACTTGACTATACCTAGAATTCTTGGAATTGTTTGCTGTTCTCAATGCCAGCGCATCAATGTTACACAAAACCACTCTGTGGAGTTAGGCTTTTAGTGCAGAAAATGCTGTTATTCCTTCTTCCAAGAAATTATGCCAGGCTTCTCCGTGTGCCAGAGGCACCAGTCACGACACCTTTGGGAAATATTACTTACAGTCTGCAAAGTTGGACTGTGCTCACACTGGTTTCTTTAACTACCTGCAGCACCTGAAGCAGCAGCAAGAAGGGCTCAGTCACCTAATCAGCATCATCAAGGATGACTTGGAAGACATCAAGCTAATAGAACACGGGCTGAACGAGAGCATTCCCATCAGAGGAGGAGTCTTCAGTTGACTGGATGCTGCTGAGCTTACACAGAACACGTTAGTCAAGTTCATGGTTCACCTTCCAAGGCTAAAACTGTTGAGGTAAAATAAAACATATCTTGTAGGAGCAATGGTATTTTGGCTGTTACCTTTAGAATTAGCAAAGCCTCTTCTAAGCTTTTAAAATTGACCTTTGGAAGGTTTATATTTTGTAAAGCTGTATATGCTTTAACAAAAGAAGGAAAACTGAATCTGTTCAGATACTGGTTTACTATAAAACTATATGTACTATTGTACATTTTTTTCTTTTTTTTCTCTCCTTTTTTTACAACAGCATTGTCCTAGAAATGCAGTGCTGAGGGGATTGCTTCACTTGTGACTTGGTTTGTGGAAAGCTTAGCCCCCTTCCGTGTTTCTGTTAAAACAATCAAGTAACATTGTGTAAACAGTTAAATCATTACGGGGATGTTAGTTGCTGTAACTATGTTGGTCCCTGCAATACCAGTAGTTTACTGGGGCAAGCTGCAGGAACTTCTTTCCAGTTTCTGTTCTTCCTTTGGACTGCAGAGATCTGCAGGTCATGTTTTTATCACTTTACATATGTGATTTATACAGAGCTTTGGTGCCCCTCTAAGTAACAGGATGTCTGGACATTGTCTTCTGCCTTTTTTTAATTGCCCAAGAGTAATAAATTCAGTCTGACTTTGTAATAACTGGTGTGTGGTGTTGGCTCTCGGTTACATCAGTGACGCTGCTCACAGCTCCAGGTAAGTGCACTTCACTCTGCTCCAGGCACTGCAAGTAATGGGCACAGAGCTGCTGGCAGCCTCAGTCCCCAAACCAAGATACAGAGCCATCTCCCTTACACATCCTACCTGGTAGCAAGTGCTGCAGGGCAGGTACCTACTCCATGCAGTGGAGAGCGGTTTTTAACCCCCCCATTAAAAAATTCACTGATAATAACTGAAACAAAAGAACTTGTGTTACCTGCAGTACGAGTTTGTACAGCAGAAACAGAGGAAGCAGAATAATTTTGTCCCTTAGCCACCAGAACAAAATAAATCCCATTCATAAAATTTGATAGATGGAAAAACCCAAAATACAGCCTAAGCATGCTGCAGCATGTGTAGTCATGAGAGAGTATTTGTGGAAGCCTAGTTTCATTACAATTGAAAAAAGTGGGAAAAGGACTCGTTTGCTTTTGAAAGGACAGTTCCAATTAATAAAGTGTCTGCACTGTGCAATACAGGCTCTCACATGGGCTCTTTAAAGAATTCAAATGACTGTAAAATTCTCTTTTTCAGGGGCTGAGGTAGCTTAAGTGAATTCTTCTGCCATGGTTCCCCTGCTAGTCTGACTGTGCTGCGTGTTTGAGATACCTTTTTTTTTTCTGCTTTGTAAGCTTTTCAAACCCCCACACACTTCGCTCCCCTTAAGCTACAGTTGTACCACGCTCTGAAAATATCATGAATGTGAAGGACAGGCTCCCTAACAGGGAGCACTTCCCTTGGTTTTGAAAAAGTCAGTTACGTCAATCACTTTCTTAAAACAAGACCCCCTGCTAGAGACAGTGTTGCACTTTGGAGGTGTTTTTTTTTCAAAAGTATTGCTCCACTGCACTTATTTAGTTGCTTCAAACTTGTGGAACAAGCTTACCACAGCAAAGGAACACCAGCAGAAGTTCATGTCATCACTGGAACAGCACTGCTGCTCACAGAGCTTACAAGCTAGGGAAAACAAGAACAGCTAAGAAACAGCAGTCTAGAAAAAACTGTTTATTAAAAGGAAACCCCTGATCAAATAGGCGCTACTTTGTTAAAACCAAGTAATACCTTTACTTCCATTTTACTACTTTCGGATAGACCTGTAACTAAGATAGAACTGTAACTAAGTTGCATCTTCCCCTTGCACAGTCATTTCTACTTAAAATATAGCTTCCTGTACAAATGGTCAGAATTGCAGGGCATGTATTTTGCCTGTTGCCTCCCTAATGGGTCAGAGCTGCTGGTCTCTGCTTGGGGTACCCGCCTTCCGTTTCCCCACTCAGCATCCACAGGCACTCTGCAGTTGGGTGGGACACGGTCCCGGCTGCTCAGACATGAAGGCATTGGACATGACAGCCTCCTGCGGGCTCTCACGCCTGGCACTGCCTGACAAGGCGGAAGGCCTCCAGGAACTCGTTGAAGTCAATGTTCCCATCCTTATTGAAATCGATGCTGCGAACCAAGTCATTGATGCCATCATCCGTGAGCTCAATGTTCATGTGGGAGCTGAACAGCTTCCAGGTCTGCTGGAATTCTTCAAACGAGATAAGACCTGTGGAGAAGCATTTCACATGCTGCAACTCCATCTCCTAGTGTGGAGAACACTGACTAAAACACAACTTAAAGCAGCAAGGAGACATAATACAAATTGTGAGAACAAAAGGCAAAGACTATTTTCTCTTTCCCAAAGTAATTTGATGGAGATTACTACTTGAAAGCAGGTAACACTCCAGATCCCAATTACACTGCATTACTGTCACTGCTCACATCACAATTTTTCTGCTGAACTCCTCCAGAAAAAAGAACTATTAATTCTCTAGCTGGATTGCACACACTTGAAAATGCATCCTGTTTATGGAAACATGCAATGACATTTCAGAAGCTTGGGAGGGAGCAGAAGGATCCAAGCCTTAAACAGTTAAATAAAAACGCTTTTGTATGTACTAAAGGGAGCCCTAAAGTAGAAGGGAACACAAGGAAGTCACCAACACCCCCTGCACACCTGCTTACCTGAATGGTCCTTGTCTATGATCCTGAATATTGTCTCCAAGTTGGATCTGTTCCGGTAAATGACTTCCAGCAGGCTTGACTGGATGTGCTGAAAGAAAACATGATCAGACTCACTCTACCCTTCTGACAGCCCTCTGTCCTGAGTGATTACTGCACACCTCCCCATAAACACAAACATTTCTCGCTCTCAAGAATGTGCCAGTAGTGTGTGATAACTAGCCCCTCCATGCAACTGCATGGACCATCAGCAGCCTGTCCCTTCCGAACAGCACTTTTCCAGGCTGTGACCATTGCAGAGCTGGATTTGCTGGGTATAATTAGGAAGCCGCAACTCAGAGTGAAACACAGTTTTCCCACCGGAAAGCCTGCATCCAAAGCTACCTCTTGGTAGTCCTTTACCTCTTGGCTCCGCTGCTCCATGGCCAGGTCATCCAGCCAGGATTTGTACTCCAGCATGCCATCCTCCGTGCTGCGCACCAGCTGCGGTCTCAGCATTCGCCAGGGCAGGCCCAGGCGCAGGACTGACTCCACTGCTGTTGCCCAGTTGCTCAGTGTGATCCTTCCTGGAGGGAAAGAGACATGGAGACTTCTGGGACACTGGCAGCTGAAAGCACATGAAGTGAGGGGTCTCCCGACCAGCCGCTCACTCAACTTTGTCACTTCAACCTTGCCCTACCAGAGAATTAGCTTATACATCCCTCGGCTCAGCTGTACCTGTGTTGTCCTCATCGTAGGCCTTGAACGCACTGATGAGGGCAGAGGTGTGAGCAAAGAGCTTCTCCCGCAGGGCTCGGAAGGCAGATTCCTCTACTCTGCTGATTCTGGAGGATGCAGAACAGAGAGAAGCACATGAAGGACTTGCAAGAGAAGTTGCACCTTCCCAGTCCTCTGGCTTGTCTGTGGGTTTCCTAGACCCTCATACAACTGCTCTGCACAGCTACAGCTGCATTTCTGCTCATGGCAAGGCACTGCATGCCCAGGGCACAGTTCCCTACAGCTGATGCAGCAAATCTCCACATCAATATGTGCAGTAATAAAACAGAAGGGAACTCAAAGGTCAAAAGTTAAAAGCTGACTTTGAAAAGAAAAACAGAAAAAAATCAGCAGTCTGTAAAAAAAAAAATCCCCTTGGGATCTTGTAACACTCCCTCCTAAAACCCTTGAGGAGCCTCCCTCTAACTTCTGCACAAGGTTTGAATCCTCCTCGAAGGATATTATTTAGAAAAATCAAGCTGTGAAAGTTCAGCTCCAGAATCAAAGTTTCTCAAAACCCACAAAGTTCTCCCTTTTGGAATTCTGATTTGTAATCCAGAGCAACCAGAACACCTTGCCTTTGGGTCATAGTGAGCATATGGGCCGACTTGTTTGCTTGGTACTGAACAAAGTGAGGGACGAGGTCTGGTCCCAGCTTCACATAGGCTCCCCTGTTGCTGCCAATCTCATAGTAGTTTGAGGCTGAAAATATGGTCAGCACCTAATCCCAAAAAAAGAGAGGCACTTACAGTCAGTACATGCATCCTGTAATATATATGTACACGTAAACAACATATGTGATCCCATCTAGAATCCAGACTGTGAACACACCTTGCTTCATGTGGAAAAGGGAGAGTGAGGTTGCAGCTGGCCTGGAAGCCTTACACATGAAAGCTCCACAAGGGCAGCACAGATCTCATGGACCTGGCCACATGTTGGGCTTGTGATTTCACTGTGGTTTCCCAACAAAGCCACTGCCTGAAGTCAGGAAGTGCCCCTGATGAAGTCACTGAAGTGACAACACCAAGTCCTCTGAGAGCAGAGCTAGGCTGCAGCAGCTCAGTAACACCTTTTATATGCCATCTTCAGGAACAGCTGCACTTAGTAGGGGGCCATGGTACAAGTGGTTTCACACCTTCCCTGATGCCCCACACAAGGACATTCTATACCTGCACAGCCACGTCCCCAGCAGAGCAGGTGGCTCCAGACAGCCCTAACAGTTGGAAACACTTCAAAAACTCCCAGTAAGGCTGTTCAGTGGTGTTGCATGTAATTAAAGCCCCATTGGAAGAAACTCAGAGCTGAGAAAAGCCACTCCTACAGCAACCCTACCCTGGAAGGATGGAGACACGAGCCATCCCCCTCACACCGACCTTCCGCCTGTGACAGAACTCGTAGCCTTCTTGCTTGCACTCATGGGAGCGGATAAGGAACTGCAAGTTGTACTTCTCAAGGATCTTCTCTGTCACATCAGGCCCAAAGTAGCAGCCGCCACCTCGCACCTTGTTTGCTCTGCAGCCCTCCTGAGGCATGGGGTCACTCCAGAGAATGTCTAAGATCTGAAAGGATTGGAAGAGTTCACTGAATAAAGTGTATCCACAGCAGGTATCACCTGTCAGGATTTACTAGGCAAATATAGCTCAGTCTCTGAATCCTTTCCCTGCACTGCTGCAGTTATTATAGTGCAGAGGAGCAGAAATGTTTCCTGCATTCCAGCTGAGCTGTCACAGACCTGGGCCACCTTAGAGATGACAGTATTGCTGGCCTGAAGCTACAGGCACACCCAAAGTGCCTGGACAAAGAGAGGTGTCCAAAAATCAGATCTGATACAAGCTTTGCCTTTGCTGCCTCTAAGATGCCCAAGAGCCTTGCTTGTCCTTCTCCATCCCAAAGCACAAGTCCCAGGGCAAGCCCACCAGATTCTGAGGGCACAAGCAGGCTTAGTATTAAACTCCTTTGTTCTCTACCCAAGACATTCTGCAGCCTCCAGAAATGCAAGTGCTGACTCAGTAAGCACTATCTGGATTAAAGTTTAATCTCTTTAACCCTGACCTCAATATACAGCTTTACACTGAAAAGATGTGCAGCACTGGAATGTCTTATGTAATGTGGAATAAGTACCCATGGTTACAGAACACACAGAGGAGAAACCAAGTCCCCCAAGGAGGTAGCACAGGTACCTAACAAAATATCCCCAGGCAGCAGAGATCATCACATGCTCACAGTACAGCCCTTACTAGCTATTTAGCACTGAAGGATCAACTGCTGCAGGAAGCACCAACGGCCCACCAGCTCAGGGCCCCAGAGACTCCTCACCTGCTGCCACTCCTCCTGATGAGGCTGGCACGGCTCATCCCCATACTTCAGGGAGACCGTGCTGGAGTAGGTGAGCTCCTCTGGCTCCGACTCGCTGATGTCCACCAGCCGGCGGCACGTGTCGATTTGCTCCTGCACCGTCTGCCGGATCCACCTGGAGAACTCCAGCCTGTTGGCCGTGCTGGGAGCCTGGGCTGGCTGGGGCTGCAGAGATAGCCTGGGAGCTGCCTCGTTCCCTGCTGCATCAGCCTCTGATTTGCTCTCCCCGTTTATGTCCCGCATTTCCACTTTTCTATTGGACTCCTTCCTTTTCTTCATTCTTAATACAGAAATAAACTGAAAGAAATTAGAGAAATGGAGCTGATCACACCGCTTGGAAACCCACAGCTCCAGCTGTATCATCTTCCATTGGCTGACCAAGTGACCCAACCTTCAAACTCCAATTCCCTTTGCTGTCATCAACTGCTGATGAACTGTGAGAGATATTAGCACCTCTTGGATGTGCCATTCTGGGTTTACAGCTGGGTCCTGTACCCATCAGATCTCTTTATGGACTCCATGGTGCTCAGACACAGCACAAAAGGGAGAGCACATGGATTTAATATGCAATGGGAACTACGCTGCAGAACAAAGGAAGGGAAGTAGGAAATAAAACCTACTTTGTCCCTTTGAATTTTCTCAAGCATGTCCAGGTCAGTGGTGTCAGAGATGCCCCCGTGTAGAATAAGGACTTTCTGATCAATCAGGGTGGCCAGGGGCAGCCAGCAGAAGACATTTTGGAACATCCTTAAGATTTTCTTCCCATGCACCTAGGAGGGCAGGTCAGAAAGGAAAAGATGAAGCATCCACTCTTCAAAGTCTCACACATAAAGGAGACACACACATATGCCTACCTTGTATTTCTGCATCACTTCCTTGGTGAAGCCATAGCTAAAGGAACAGGAGAACAGCAGTTGAGTGGGATTTCACACAAGACCCTCGACATGGCGCTCAGCCCCACACAGAACCCGTACCGTAAGTTGACCATGTGGTCCTCATGGTTCCCACGGTTGAGGTGAACCTCCTTTGGATAGATCAACAGGAAGGTAAAGAGGATGATGAGGACCTCAAGGGACTGTTTGCCTCTGTCTACAAAGTCTCCGTTGAACACGTAGGACTTGGAAGGGGAAGGAAGGCCATTCTGTAAAAGCAAGGAACAGGCGGATGTTACAAGAGAGGCCTCCCCATGGTCTCCATATTCCTCCCCCCCCAGCTGCACAGTCTGTCACTCCTGTCCCAAGTTACCTTGTACAATACACATCCTGACTTAGCTTTATCCTGTAGGGCCCCAGTGCCAAAAGCAGTGGAAGCTGGAAGTCAGCAAGGGTTGCCATTGGTATCAGCACTCAAAAAATGCCCACTGGCACTTCCAAAATGGACATGGATATCAGATTTCAAAGTCCCCAAGGGAATAAGCTAGCTGCTGCTTTATGAAGCCTTTTAAAACCAATTAAACTGACCTGGAGAACTGGACATGAAGGGCCCCATTTTGCAAACACTTCTCAGCATGACCCATGCGATACCTCTCGCAATGCCTGGCCAGCCTCACTCGCCAAATTCAGTGCCTACCTTGCGATACCTCTCGCAATGCCTGGCCAGCCTCACTCGCCAAATTCAGTGCCTACCTTATAAAATATGAGGAACAAGTCATCCAGCTGGCCGTGCAAGTCTCCTAAGAGGCACAAAGACAAGTCAGTGTGTTTACCTTGAACTTAAAAAGACACTAACTTCCTATCAAGTATATCCTTTATAAGTTAACAACCATTGAAACACTTCAGGAACTGTAAAGTCAAAGTTTCCTTACAGTAAGGCAATGTGCCTGGACATGATGTAAGGCTTGAGCTGAAGCCTCAAAAGGACAGCTAAAAATATACACCAGCTGCTGAAGAGTGACTTAGAAATTTTGTTTATCTCTTGCAGTGACAACATAGCACAAGATTGTCATTATGTGGGAGAAAGCTTTGCATACAAAATAACAATCTTAACTAAATTCTCATTTAACAGGATACTGGAGAGAGAAAGGTTTGTTTTCCAGAAGCTGACTGCATCCAGAAGTTTTGAGGCCAGTCCTCAACTGGGGCAGTTTCTGTGATTTAGTAAAACTTCTCCAAGTTTGGGGTGACAGAACAAAGACAACCCAGGTATTTCAGACAGACAGTTGCCTCTCAGTGCATCACACTGCTTACAGACAGCATTTGTGTTTCATGTTCCACGTTAAATACAGAGGAGGGCATTGTGCTCTCCCTACCATTCCATGCTTTTCCCACCGCGTCCACAGCCTCTGACGTACCACACACAGTGACCTCCTCGCTGTAGCAGGTGGAGACGTGGCTGATGTTTGGCAGCTGCTTGAGGTGCTTCCTGGTCTCATGCAGAAGGTTTAAGACATATCGAGCGTGGAGCTGCTACTGGGAGAAAGGCAAGGGATTAAAGCAGGAAATCAGTGGTCTCTGAGCAGCACCGCGGCTCTGTCTGCAAAGGCCCCACCAGGACAGCCCAGATGGGAGAAACTCGCCCTGGGACAAATTCCACAGAAATTCCAGCCCAGTATCACAGGTAAGAGGCTGCTCCTCTAGATCCTTCTTAGCTTTTCCACATTAAACCAAGCTATGAGTTTCCACGTGTCCTGCAGAAATATATTTGCTCAAAGCCAGGGTGTAAGCATTTCATATAGTTGGGACGCAAGACATTTGGTTTAGGAATTGGGTTTTTTTTGGAGAAGGGATATTTTGGCCTATTTTGCAGTTCAGTACCTTGGCTGAGGATGGCAGCAGAACACTGCAGTTGTACGAGGGCTTGTTCTGTTAGTGCTGCTCAAGTGGTACTGGACTTTCTCAAAGACCTCACAATTTACATTTTAAATGCAAGTCAAAGTTGAGTGGCACAAAACATTTTAATTGGCTGTTTCCATTTGGGCCATGCTACGCTTTTTTACAAGTGCAAAAATATCAACAAAAAATAAGAAAGAGGTTCAACATGAGCTGTTATGGATTTCTTCCTTTAGAAATAAAATTCAGGTTGATACTGGTACTGGTTGATACTGGTACGCCTCCACATAAAGTTTTCAGTTTTGTCAGAATTGCTTTCAGAAAGAAAACCACTCCCATGGCAGGGGAAAATATATCATTTCCATCCCCCTCTGTTTAACAGCCTGCCAGCTCATTACACTCCAGTCAGTTTAGCTTGTTGGGAAGGTTAAAACCAAGTTATCTACCCTACACCCCCACCAAGAAGGGGAAAGCGTAATTCCTGTTGGGATCCTTACTTGTTTCTGTTTGAAAGCTTCCAGCAAGGCAGTTGCATGGTCAGGAAGGAGTGGGAAAGAGAGATGGGGTCCAGTGTAAGAGTCTGGCACCTCTATGGATTCATAGTCACAGTATTTTTCCAGCTCTGCCTCTTTGTAGCTTTCTCCACTTATGAACATGCGACTGATAAAATCCCCTGGATGGCAGATCAGGGGATTTAATTGATTTTTTTTCAAAAGAGAGAGACAAGAAAAAGTTGATTAGTTCAAGGTACCATTCTAGTAATTTTCAAAGAAAAGCTGTTTAGCTCGGCTGCAACTGGGTCCTGGTTCGACACCACTACAGAATTTGCAGTGGGGAAAGGCTATAGGGACAAATTTCCATGTCTATGTGTCAGGAAAGATGGCTTCTTGCTCCAGAAATGGCCTCTGCAAAGCCCTGCTTAGCAGGGATCATGAGACCCCACCTGCAGTGCTGCATCTGGCTCCAGATACATCACAGGGAAACTTACTCTCTTTGCTGCTGCTTGGCGTGAACTGCTCCATGAGGTAACTGAAGAAGTTGTGAAGCTGCAAGAGAGAGAGCCCATCATTCATCCTGGAATTAAATTCTGCAGAGTGGCAACTTAGCATGATCATCTTTCTGGAATTATTATGTCTGCCCTTCTCATGTTGTCCAGTATGTAAAACAAACTGCACTGTACCAATGCAAGTTTGGAATACCTTGTGATGAAGGCAAATAGTAGCTTTACCTGCAGCCAAACAGGCACAAGTACAACTACAAGCCCTCCCTTCTCCCTGCCTGACAGCAAGGCAGCCATCTAAGAGAATCTTAATGAAAGATTCTTTCAAGGCTCATAACTTCAGGTTTCATCACACACAAGCAGGCAGAGAATCAAACAGGCTAAAAGGGGGCACGAAACCCAGTCTTCAGCCCACTGAAGCACTTATGGGGTTACCAGCCAGCAGACAGAACCAAGCAAGCCTGTGGCACAGGAAACACCTTGCTATGTGTTTCCCCACTTCCTTGGCACCATACCTTGATCTGGTCCTGCTCACAGGCATACTCGATGGACTGGAAGATTCTCCAGGTGCAGCGGCGGCGCATCTCCAGCCGAGCAACATAGCGCCGATACCACTGCTGGATCAAAACAGCTGCCTTGAAAGCTGGGGGACAAACAGAACCCAGCTGAGGTGCCCTGCTACTGCTCCTTCACCAGCCCTGAAAACTGTAGAGCAACCTCCCTTTTACAGGAAAAGTCCTCACTAATTGTACTCTGGCACCTCAATATTAAGGGTAATAAATCATCCGCTTTTCAACACATTGCAAGAGGTTGGCCTGATCCTGCCTGACCAGACCTCTGAAGCACTCCTAGCCACCACTGCTGGCTTCTCAGCACCACCATTAACAGCTTAAAGATCCAAACACATTCTTCAGTATCAATAGACAGTTCCTCCCTTTCCATCTTCATGTCCATCTTACAGTCTCTGGGTGCCAAGGCTTCAAGAAACCAGAAATTTGACCTGGGCCACACAAAGAGATGGGAGGAAATAAGACACCAAGTCCCCTTCCAGAGCCTTAGAAATATGGGGTTTGTCTACCTCCCTTTATGCCAAATACATACCTCAGCTTTTGCAGTTCTGGAAGAACTTGAGGGAATCTATTGTAGCATAAATGTTAACATACCATTACCTCACAATAAAGACTAAATTACCACCCACAGTGGAAAAAAAGGGAAACACAGCTTTGGCCACTTAAAGAATGAGATGGCAGGAATTTCCAGCTGCCTGTTTGTGGTTCAATCCATCACCAGCACCAGGCACTTCTTTCAGAATGACAGCTGTTTGCCCTGATCTTTTCAACATAATCATTCCTCTGCATTTTCCCAATTCCAGTGTTTCATTAAAAGATTATTTCAGTTAAGATGTGTGCATATTTAGACTCAAGTACACTGGTGCAGTTTCCCATTTCCTTTTTCAAGTTCTGCCACAGAACTTTATGTACCTCTAGAAATTCCTCCATCCTCCCTAGCTGGCCTTGACCCCACTTGCACTAGCTCTGCTACTTGGCATTTCTCTTCTGATTACACTGTGTCCCCTCCTGTTCCTTTCTGGATCCCTACCCTTGAGCCCTGTGCTTAAAACATTTTCTAACAATGCTTGAAATGAAGGTGGGAGGGATGGTTACTCTCTCCACAGGCTGGCCCTGAAATTTAGAGGAAACAACTGAGTTAGGCAGCTAGCCCTGCTGCAGGTGGTTTATTCCCTCGGCATTATGGTTTGTCAGAGGGCCGTCACATTCACCAAAGCAGAGAGAGCACTGCAGAGTGCAGGGGGAAAAAAAAAGAACTTGATTAAGGAAATCCCCCACCCCTATTCAAAGGGCTGCTCCAGGCTTGCAAGAGACAAAGAGATCATATTAATTCAATTAGCTTGTATTAATTACATAACATAAACCACCCCTCACGTACTCCAGCAGGAAACAGTGACCTTTCCCTAGAGAAGATATCCTGATGGCTTACATATTGAAAATAATAATCCTTTTAAATATGGTTCTGTTTCAGCACTGGGAATTGCAGAGCACAAGAAGACAAGTGTTACAGCTGCTGTGCAGCAGGGAACTGAGTCGCGGTGAAGTCGTGGGCAAGAAGGTAAGACTTGGCCAGTTATTCATGTATAACTTCTGTGCCTGAGCCTTCCCTCATGTTGAGCAAATGCTTACTGGTCTGCTGGGCTTGGAAAGAAATTCCTAGTGGTGACTCCACACATGCCAATCAAAACCAGATCCTTTGAAACAGTAAAAATAGAACTTAGGGAAGACACATTATCAAGTGCACATATACCACCATCCACAGCATTTAAGCTTCAGATGGGCAAGGCACTGGTTTTTTTATTCTGCTTTTACATAGACTGACTCTGCAATACCTGCAAGGCCAGTTATTCTAATTTACCAGCTTACCTGGGTGAGTTTCACCTGGCAGGGTTTGTAGCAGTTTAGATAAAACTAATCAAAAAGGGGGAGAAAGATTCATCCACGTTTTATGAGGGTCCAAGCCATGTATCATGATAAGCTCCTGAAAGCATTGCAGAGTGGCAGCACTCAAGCCAAAATATGAACACTTGTGTAAGCAGCATAGCTCACACATCAGCTTACAGGAGGGACTCCCCATCCCCTTCTTCACTCAAGGGCAGGGCCAGTTGAACAGCTCTGCTGGCTACACTTTCTGTAATGAACAGCCCCTGGACCTGGTACAGGTAAAATTAGACAACACCTGGCACACTGTATGTGGGTGTAAAGTCCTGAGCAGCTCCTCATCTGCAGATCACCAGATCTGAAGGATTGAGAACCAAAGGTAAGAAATTCAGAGAGCTTTTACTGCCATGGGAAACTGTTGCTGAGGTATCAGATGTAATGCAGGGTTTCAAATAAGTAACTGGTTTTGTGTGACACTGTTATCTGAAAATAACCCTGAACTTAGCGAAGTCCATGGCTCTCTGGTGCTATGGGTGACAGACAAGTAACTTAAAAGGTGGAGTTTTTCAACAAACAAAAAGCACAATGTCAGTGTATCCCTACTTTCTTAATTTCTAAACACTATCTCCCTTTTCTTTTCAAAGCACTTGCAAACAGTTGGCCCCATCCTGATCTTCTGCCAATGCCTGACACAAACAATAAAGAAGTGAAAGTTTATTTTTAACGTTTCCCTATGCGTAAAATCCCCTTCAAACTCCCTTTGTTCCACAGCAGATCTAGGCACACACACAAAATTGGTGCTGTCACACAGAGGGTTTCATACAAATTGATCGTTACAGCTTTGAGAGCCATAAACAGGTTAAGATCATTAGCAGAGATTAAGAGCATTGTGCTGATATAATTAGAAAAAAAGGCACACTTTGCTTTTCAGCTTTTTGTAGCCACACCATCTCACCTTCTGTAGAGCCAGGTTTATTTTGGCTTTGTTAATGCTTCTGCTTTACCAGTCCTGCACCACTAACAGCCTTGGAAAACAGCCCAGGAGAATGAGCAGGTTGGCACGTCTGTCTCACTGCCAGCACCCGACAACACACACTTTAGCCAGCAAGTCATTAGGCCATTAGGTGTCAATTTTAACTGCTGCTTCATATCTGGTCAGGTTTGGGCTGATTTTAATCTAATCCTGGCCTAAATAGCTGCTGTTTTCTCAAGCCTGTTCATCTTCTGCTGAGAATCCTTGTCACAGGATGCTGAAATACAGAACCTCACCTCAGTGCTATCAGGAAAACCAGGTAACCCAGCACAAACACATCCACCGCACCCTCCTTAAAGCACACACAGCAAACAGGAAAAGATGACTTCTCAAAGAATCACTCACCATTTTCAGACTTCTGCAGGGAGTACTTGTAATCGACATTTACAGAACTACCAGATCCCATGTTCTCCAACCAATGCTCCAGTGTTGCAGACTGGCCCAGTGTCACCAAAACCACCAGAGAGATGCAGCAAACACCATTCAGTCAGAATCAAAACAGCTGCAACATGTCCCACAGTGCTGAGAATCTACAATTAAATATATTAACACTTAAGATCAATGATCAGATGGCCTCTCGTGCTCAATTACCACTATCAGTTTTTTACCAGCTACTTGGGTGTCTTTCAGATGACCCAAAATGAGGATTTTTGTCTCGCTCTTTCCAATTTCAAGTCAGCTATATAAATAGGAACCAGTTCAGCACCTTTCCTACTTTCATATCTAGATACTGTGATTGTATGGCAGATGTGTAAAAAGTTTTTCAGTACTGGTCAGGAACTATAAAAGCCATGAAGTTGACTGATTACCCGTCAGTATGTGCAGACAAATATTCATGCATGTAGTCACCTGTGAAGGATAACTCATTATGAGGGATGAACACACATGGTATTTAATCTTGTTATCTGTGCAGTACCACAGCTGGAGGGTAGATAAGTCTAAAACAACAATTACCTATCATAAGAAAATAATCAGCTTTGTTAAACACTGCTTTCCTTCACCTCATGCATATACTACAGTGTAGGAGCACATGATGCCATCGCTTGCCAGCATAAAAGGGCAGGACAGCCAGACTTTGGTAACTGGAAGGAAGCTCTGGTCAGAGCAAACAGATCCTATATCCAGATCAGGTCAAATTCTGAACTACCTCACTTTGAGGACAACCAGAATGCCATTCACAGATACCTTTCCCCCGGTAAAAAAATCCAGTCACACACTACTGCCAAAGCAGCCCCAGGCTGTAATGCAAAATGATTAGATTTTAAATCTAACCCAGAATTTGTGGGGGGGAGAAAGCTGAGAAATGGAGGAAAGGAAATAAACACCTGTAAAAGTGTTAAGCCTGGTGCTTGCAGGAGAGCACAGCTCAGAGGGTTTTGAGGAGTCTGGACAGAGCAACTACAGAGGTGCTTCTCCCCAGCAGAGAGAAAAGTCCTTCTCCTTTTCTCACCTCCTGCAATCCTTGTGCCTCCTTCCATCTCCTTGCACCCATCCCACATCTCTCCTCCCAGAATAGCTCCGATCCAAAAATACTGATTGCAGGAGCACGTCCGGTGTTGCGTAAGGTGAGCACGTGCCACGTTGGCTCAGGAAGGTGAGCCCTGCTCAGCCACACTGCAGCACGGCAAAGTTCCAAGGCAGAGCAAGTGCTGCAATTCTCTCCCTTGCCCAGGATGCCCAACTGTACCATGGCATCTTCACAGTAACTGGATGATGCAACAGGAAGGTACAAAGCAATGCTCTCATTTTATTCTAACATCATTTCATATCAGTGTCAGAAGTGGCCTGAAATCACCACTGAATTATATCCAACTTGATCTGGTGCTTTACAGCCTTTATGCTTAAATAATGCAGGTGCTCTGACAACTTTTCAGGTTAACTACTCCAAGGGACAATTGCACACAAAATCAGGATCCCTAACACTTAAGGGGCTCTTATTTGTAACCTCCTGTGCCAGCTTCAAGGGGTGGAGGTGGCTTCAGCTCTTCAACGAGATCAGTACCTTTAAAGATACCCTTAAAAATGCAAACATGAGCAAAAAAAGTCCTTTTTCAGGAACTAGGACACTTCCAGATGACTTTTGAAAAATGGAGAACAGATTTGAAGCAAACACTTAAGTACAAGGTTTGGTACTTTGGTTTAAGGATGCGTTCAGAGGTACTGCCTGTTTTGTTGAAATGGGACTTTGGAATTAAGATTACCTTGGCAACACAGAATCAAGTTTTCCCTCATTTCCTTCCTAACCTGCAAAACAAAGACTATTATTCAGGCAGCCCTACCTGAAACAAATTTTGGCCATCCATCCCAGGAAATGGCTTAGTATTAGTGTGCTCTAGGAGCACCTGTGGAGTACCAGCATAAGCAACAGCACCAACCTGTTTATCATATGAACAGGCTTATCAACAGGTCCCTCCCAAGCAGCTCCTGGAGCTGTGAAGTCTTTCAAGTTCATTACCCTCAGATCTTTGTGAGGGCCACAGCCCAAAGAGGACACAGCAGTAAACCAGAATCCAGTGGAATCAAACCTGTTCCAGGGGTGGGAGGAGTGCGAAAAAAAATCCACCAGTCCAACTGCTCAGCACCTCTGATTCTTCCTCATCCACTCAACAGTGAGGTGCACCCTTCCCTTCCTAAAGAAAGGCACAACCTGGAAGACTTGCTCAAGTTGAACAGCAGCATCAGCTCAAATACAGGCTGTCCTAAACAGCCAGGTGAGACAACATGATGCATCGAGGGAATGACCAGCTACTGACCACTCCTTCCTCTCCATGGTCCTGGCCACCATTCAGAGTCTCAGTAGAGAAGTAGCCACAGACACGTAGGGAAGATGTTCCCTGTTCACCAGAGGTAATATTCCACAGACAGGAGAAAAACACATGACAGCCAGACTTCAAAACTTCACAAGCCACTGGATACCACTTCTTGGAAGTCTTCAAACACAAGCTGTCGACTTGCTTAATAACAGTATTGAATACCACAAAACTCAGGAAAACTCACATAAATCTATTTGGGTCAAGCACCCCAAAACAGGAACAACAAAAACCTAGGTCAGCTTCCTGCCTTAGCACAAATATTATTTTAACTTCTTCAAAACAAAAGCAAGTGACAGCATTAACTAAATCCCACATACTCTGAGCCTGTGCACATTGCAGATCTGTGCAGAACTGGGTGCCTGACCCACAGGCCAGGAACACCACAGCTAACAGGAATCCTACTCCAAAACATGGCTCCTAGGAAAAGTGACATTGCATGGATCATACACAACAGGAGCCCCACTAACCTGCCCATTTTATAGACAGTCCAGCAGCTGAGGGGACAGATGAGTAGAACATGGAAGGCAACAAGAAGACAGACTTACTGAGATTTTAACAGGGAAAAACCTGAAAGACATCAGAAGGAAAGTTTCACTGAAAGAAAACAGCAACAGTTTTAAGAGCTACAGATTAATTGATAAAATAACCAAATACTTCTCTCAAGAAAGCAAATCTCAGGTAGCACTAGGGAAAGTGATAATCCTGCCTTGCCCCTAGGAGTAAATACTTATGTATGGCCCATGTGTACATTGGACTCAGCACATCTTGTAGCTGGAAAGGAGATGGTGAAGCTTGTATACAGCTCAGTATATAAAAAGGATATTTCACCTCAAACTACGGGTGCTGGACATAACACCCTGTCACAAAAATAAAACGAAAAATGCAACTTACCTTGCCAATTCCTAAGTTAGGGATTTGTTGAGATAAACACAATAGAAGCTCTCCGCTTGGTAGATTTTTGTTCTATTCTGTACTCAAAGATATGAATGATCTTTGAAGCGATTGGTTTGATTACAGATGCAGAAACTCCTCAGAATGCAATCAAGTGAGGTGCTCCCTTGGGCACGCAGCAGGACAGGCCATGTCTTCGTACATGTGCAGCCCAGAAGAGGTGTGGACCCCTCGACTTAATTACTGCCTTAAAGAATCCTCTCTCATGTGATCCTTAAGAAAGGCTACAGGCCTGAACCTGGATTAGGATTACTGAAGGGATTATAAATGAGATACACAGCATGTTAGCCTCTCCCATCTTAAGAGTCAGTTCTAACACACTTGCAAGTCACCTTTTGCTAAATGCAAATTTACAGAGAAAAAACAATTAATGGTTTCACCCTTTACCTCTGTTGGACTGTAGTTTTGTAGCTAGGGGATCTATACTGCAGAAGGGAAAGGATGGGGAAAAAGGATTACTTAGCTCAGTTCTGTTTCGTTACTTAACAATTCTAAGGCTTGAAAAAGCAGAAAAACTACTTTCTTTTTAAGAAGTGGACACACAAAGCAGATGAAATCTTAAACAGAAATAAGTGATCCTCCATTTTTAAAGAAGTAAACATGACAGAACCATAGAATGCCATGCTGGAGAAGTACCTTAAAGATCATCTAGTCCAACCTTTCTTGGCAAAAATTCCCACAAAACACCCAAACCTGCCAAAATAATGCATCAGCACTACATTTTAATGTTTCCAGCATTAAGAGTTTTATTTAAAGTATTAGCAATCCCATCTCTGCACTTCTGTCAAATTTCAATTCTTATTAAAAGTAGCTCAGCTACTCACAGGTTAAATCATCTAGTTACTATGATGTGTCATTTACCACTTATTTAGTATTTATATTTTTAGCTTGTCATTAAACTAAACCCACAAAGTAATTTATGTTTTTGATTAGCACAAGAAAACCATTCTAGGTGGCAGAAAGCTTTTTATTGGAAATGAGCATGTTTGAGTGTTTATTATCACACAAAATGCAAGCCTTTCAAGAAAATAATTTAGAAGAAAAAACCTTAAATCCTTGTTTAAACTTCACAAGCACAAACAGCTGCCAAGACCCAAACACAACAGCAGCAAATTTTTTTCTGAATATTCATGGATACTTGTAATTTATACACACTAGATCTGCTTGTACACATTAAAACATACATTTGGTTAAATTTACATACCAGTAGCATCTGGGCACACCCCTGCCAGCAGATAATCAGCCTAATGGTGCAGAGGTTAGGATGACAAAACAGAGCCACACCTGGAAGGATCCTTTTGTTGTAGGAGGCTGTTATTTAAGGAAAACCTGGTGCCATCAGGTGTCAGTGCCTGCTCTGTAATTTAAAACAATGGCATTCTGCAATCCCAAAGATAGTGAGCACAATTACATCTTCCTCCAGGAACTCTGTTCAAATTTATCCTTCTGGCATCCAACTGCTGTACAAACTGGGTCAGGGCAAAGCTTGCAGCACATTCATCCAGTCAGGAGGACAGGATGCAGATAAGCAGGTTATGAGACTCAGCACAAGGAGATAAAGGGCCCACAGCTCCAGAAGGTGCTCTCGGAGCAGTCTGCATAACCAGTGCACAAACACTGCACCAGCACAGCATGGATCTGGAAATAGTGCTCTGACCACACCTTCCCTCAGGTGAACTTCTGTCCAGTGCAGGAGGGGACCTCTAAGCTTTACATAATCCAGTATCCACTGGTCTTGATTCTTCAAATCCTTCACTATTTCCAGGGTACAATTAAGTGCCAAAATTCATTATGCAGTCACAGCACAACCCAACAAAAACCCCACTGCTCCACATCGTAGAAGCAACTTAAAAACTTACTATTGCAGGCAATTTTATTTGATCACAGAAAAACATACATCCTCCTTTAACATCACTGCTACCCAACACAAGCTGCTCTCATCTACCAGGGAGCAAAGTATTATCACACTTCCTGAAACAGCTCCCGATTTCTGATAAATCAGTTAACTATAGTCTACAGCTCTGCATGCTGCTGACTGTTGCATCTGCCCCCACTAGGCTCATATCACCAACCCCTCACAGGTGAGGGGAAAGGATGAGCACATGCAAGTAACCCCACACACCTCCAGAAATCAGTCTATCAGCTGCATCTTTTTATTTCATCGTGTTCAGACCTACTGCCCATGTAAAGTACAAAAATTTATTCATTAGCACAGAACTACATTGCAGTTACACAACTCTTACAAAACCAGTAAAAGCCATTTTTAACCAGTCACATCTGCTAGAACATCAATTAAAATAAAATTCAAACACCTCTTACAGTTCATTAAGAGGATCACCTGCAACACTTCAAAGAGTTAACAAGTCACTATTTCCCAAATGGTTCACATAATTAATAAGCCAAAACGACTGTACTGCTCCCAAGAGTTATTTTAGAACCATATGCTGATCTTGCAAAGCTTCAGCTTTTCACTCAGTCTGCTGAAATAGAAAAATAGATAAGAGAGCACAAGTTTATATAGAGTTACAAAAAACCAAACTCTGTACAAGCTCTAAAAGGAATTACTCTTGCTAAAATCAGATCTGAAATATCTTTCTCTAAGTATATTGAAACTGCCACACAAGGCACCTTGTGAGTTCAAGGACTTGGACTTGTTCTGCAAGTTGACAGGACAAACCCCTCAGAGGGTGCTGCTCGCAACGTCATTGCTGAGCAGCTCTTGCCAGTGAAGCTCAATTTTTTCTGGTGCTAATGCACCACCCCCTCCTGCTGGGATTCTGTCAACCACCTGGAGACAAAGGAGTGCTGGACTGGGGACTGGTAAAACCTGCCAAAACATTGCCACAGAGAACCTCTACCTCAAATCACAACACCCACCCCCTTCCTCTCAGATCAAGCACTTTTCCCTAAGATAATGTCCAAGAGCTTCACTGAGCAAGTCAATACTTACCAACCTTTAAAACAACAAGGGAAGGTATTTACCCAAGGGCAACAAGCAAACCAAGGACAGCATCAGGAGTTCAGACTACGTCACTGGAGTGTCACTGCAGCACTTTGTCCCTCAGTGACCCTGCACCCAAAATGTTTAAATGCAAGTACAACGTGCTACTTACACCTCTGCTCCTTACAGCTCTTCACTGCTCAGTTCGGATCCATGTCTGGTACTTGTCTGGAAATGCAGCACTCATCACTGTGGTGTACACTGTGTTACTGGCAGGGAGAGAGAAGAGTCAGTGACATCCCAAAGGCTGCAACGCTAATTTATACAGCTAGCAAAGCAGCTTGAGTGGAAACAAGTGTTCTGCTTAGGTACAGAAGGGTTAGAAAGACTGAGAAAAGCTGATGGAATTGAAGGCTTCTGGCATGGATTTTTGGTGTTCTCTCCCCAGCTCAGCACAGCAAAGCAATGGTATTTCCACATCCATTTCATCACTATATTAAACAATTGGTAGTGTTCATCTCAGGTCTGACAGATACAAACTCTCCTTTCCCAATTTCCTCACATTTACAAGACAGAGAAGAGGTCCTGGTATTAACTTCGAGAAAGCCATTGCAAAGCCCCAGTGAGATTGAGTGATCCAGAGAATATACTGGTCTCTGTGTAAAACATAACCTGTGTGTTGCAAAGGTGTGATTTCTGCAACAATACAGAACAAGATACTGAAATAAATCTCTCAAAAACACAGTAAATCATACTTAAAAGTTTGTCCCGTTTACTTTTATCCTTTTTACACATGAAGCAGACCTACACCAGAACACCAAAAAAAGCCACTCTCAGTGTTAACACCAACCTAAAAGTTCCAGAAGTGGACAAACAAGTCAGTGGAAATTCCAGCTGCTCCTCCAAAGGAATCATTTGTTTCACTACTCCAAAACAACTTCCCACTATCAGACTGAGCCCAACCAATTGTAGCTCTTTGGATGGAGGGGCAGACCCAAGACAAAGAGTGTTGTAGAAGTGAAAATGGTGCCACAAACACAAGCCAAAATCTAAACTGGGAAGCCACAAGACACTCAAACACACAGCAAGACCCTCAGGAAGCTCTGACTGACTTTGAAGTGGCCTAAAGCATAAGCAGGAGGCACAGATCATCTCAATCTAATACTTACATGTTTAAGACTGGCTTCACTGACAATACCTGTACAGAAAGTTCGAAGAGTTGTCATTTTGGTAGATGAAAGGGGAATTAAAAGGCTATTTATGAACAGCAGCAGGGTGAAGTTATAAAAGCAGTAATGTGAAATTAAGCAGTTTTCCAGGCTTGTTTACCATCGGGCCATTTACAGAATTACTTTCAAAAGCCCTCTGAAATACCCATTTCAAGTCCCAAAACTAACTGGTAGATACCACTCACGTCTGTCTAACACTGTCTGTAATAATTTCACTTGAAATATGGAACTGCAAAGATGATGGGATTCACCTCTTGCACTTTTCACCTGGATTGGCAGATTATTACAAAATGCCTACGCATAGGAATTCAGCAGCATTTTAACAAACTTTGTCTTCACCTCTCCAAAAATGACTGTGCAGTACAGCTTGTTCCCCACAAAAAAAGCATCTTTTAGATCCCTGACCAAACTACTGCACTTCTGCTTTGACAAAGCTTGCAGTGAAAATCATAATGTAGAATTAAAGAAATACCTTAAAGAGTGTATCAAAATTGATGTTCTGCTGTCCAGTAGCATTGAGAGCTTTGATGGCTGCAGTTCTGCAGGAAAACACAGTATCATCAACACACTTTCCTGTTCCAAAGGCTACAAAGCATCAACACAAACTTCTCACTAAGGGCCTTGACACTGAAATGCTTGCTTTGCCTAAAATAACCCAGAGCTGTGTGACAGGATCTGGTCTCACATTGTTGAAGCTACTGTTACTAATCCCTTGAGTACAGAACCTGCCAATCCCTTTCTGCACACTACACAGCCTAAGAAATTCACCTTCCTAGCACCATCAAATACTTTTGCACTGTGCATCTAAATCTACCTTCTACTAAACTTTACTTGAAGTTTTTGGCCCATGCCTTGCCTGGCAATTCCTCATTTATGCTAAGCCATGCCTCACAGATTTTGCCCTGGCATCTATGAATATTGCTCTTCACCTTATCTATTCTCTCTAGAGTAGCATCACAGGAAGTAAATAAGCTGCCTGCTCAAGGAGATAAGACCCGCCCAGAGAAGGAGAAACCCAAACCTGTAAGCTCTTCCAAAAAGAAAGTCTTCACTCACCACAGAGCTCCCAGTTTACCTGCGATCATCAAAAGGAGGAGGGGTGGTCCAGTGGTCATAGTTTGTCTCCACACGAAACCACCTGTGACCAAAAGGGAAGAGGTGAATCAGCAGGTAATTCTTTCAGGCCAAGCATCAGCATCTCTGCATTGCCAAAAGGAAAAGCCTCCCTGAAAATTCACTTCCCTGTGTCTTTTGCAAGCCCAAGGGCCCTGTGTTGATATATATAACAGCCTGTACCATCGACTATGGAACATAAATGGAGTAACCCCTGAACTCCTGATGGCTTGTGACAAAACTACCCCTGACTACAATAACAGACCTTTAGAAGTATGGTTGGAAAAGCAATGGGTCTGCAACTGATGCAGCCTGCAGCACTCCATCTGCCTGTTTGCATTGGTGCCCCTTATCCCCACAGGGCAGTTTTGTACCATCCCCTTCCTCTATTAAGCTACTGATTTCAAAAAACTAGATAGGAACAGTTATTTTTGAGCCTTTAGCCTTCTACCACATTGGGACACAACTGATTTCCAGTTTGAGTTTATTGGTGCAATACTTGGCAGACAGATGGCAAGAGCCGTCCTTTGGAATCTGGCTAAAAAATTGAACAGATGCTTTTTCCACATTTTTCCCTTTGGACTGGCCCAAAGTGACAAGGTGGTGCAATTCCTTCTCCAGGAGAAGGAACTGGGGCTCCTTTCAGAGGGTTTCAAGCTTTCCCTGTGCAGCTGTAAGCATTACCACCAGGTGCCTGGATCTCTCAAGAAAGTTGTTACTAACCCAACCTATCACTCAGGAGGCAATACAAGAAAAGAAAACAAAGCAGTTTTTTCCTACTTACGCTCCACCTAAAGGATCCAGAGGCCAGAGATCTGCTGGCCCTTTTCTGTTCCTTGTTATGACCATGCCTTCTTTGGGTGACACACCTCCTACAATATAGTAAACTTCAGCAATGATGGGAATGCCAGCCAGTCTGAGAACAGCTGACTGGAAGTCCTCTGCTCTGCTCAGGGTCTGATGCAAAAAAGGAGATGACAGTGAGGTCAGGCACAGAAACAAGCACTGGGACATCTTCAGAACCAAAAAGGTCCACCCTGTCTAGAAATAGTCAATGATTAAAGTGCTACTTGAGAAAAGCATTAGTATAGTAACATATCAAACAGTATAAAATAACCCCTGGGACAGGTATTCACATCTAAGAGTGCAACTGTGTTAACTGGTCACAACTAGATGAAATAGTCCCTAGGAATGAAGTCTTGGCACAGCTTCTCCAGGACTTCTGGCACTGATTAGAGATCACCCCCTTAAAGGACTGGAATTGCCTCTCATTTACTGACAATTCAGGGACAACAGGGACAACACTTAGCTTCTCTTATGAAATCCATTTACTTATAAAACCAGTAAGCTTTCTGTGCAACTGAAAGTTGGAAGACGCAATTCCCCTGTGAGTTTAAGCACAAATGACATAACTGAAATGTGAGAAAGTAACCCAGTGCACTTACGTCCCGGACCAGCCAGCTGACAGGGTAATTCCGATTGAGGAAAGCAGCTATGGCATTTTCCCACCATCTACCACCATCTGGGGAGGAAAAAGTAATTACTATACATGCAATATACATATATACAATGAAACAGGACAGCTGCCTATCAGCACAAGATGTTAATGTTTTATGGGAGAAAGGCCAACAAGGAGCACAACATCCTGATGGAATATAAACAGACAACCTAATCCCAACTGACATTCAGCCACAACAGCTGGATTAACACTCCTGCTTTCCAGAAAGCATCTCAGACCTGTCATGAAATGAGTAATAATTATCTCCTAATTATTCATGTTACTGAAATAGTGAAACAGCAATAACACAACAGAAATCAGGGAGCAGCTAAAAAACAGTAGTGGTAGTGTTTGTGTTACCAAGCACATTAGGAGAAGTAAGAAAAACAGAAGGGCAAGTTTGTTATTCTTCATACACCAAAACCACAGGACAGCCACCAGAATCAATATGCTTGTCACCTGATAGACCTTCACCCTAATTTAGTCACCCTCCCCTTCCCAACCATAGTTCACATGCTTATTTCCCTTAATTTGTAGTTCAGCTGGAGTGAACTAAAAAAAGACCTTTTAGTTCAGATAAATCAGCAAGCAGCATCAACCAATTTACAGAAGTACAGCATGCATGGAATGAACAGACATCTCATGGTCCACACATGGTCTGGTCCACAAGATTTCCTAAATCAGGCCTTTACAGAGACTTGATACACTTGGGACTATTTCTAAGCTGAACTAAAAGTGGTTTGCATCTCTAACTATGACCCCACTACACTCCAATTTTGAAAGGATTAAATAACTACTCTGGTATCAGGAGCAGTATGTGTGCCAGCTATGGAAAGAATTTAGTGACTCCAACAAAGCTGCATTAACAAAGGACACAAGAATCCAGAGGTCCCTGTGCTCCATACCAGAATCCCTACTCAGAGATAATGTATATGTGTAAATTGTTGGCGTATCATATAAAAATTACAAAAACAGATTGCCCAATTAACAAATTAAAAAGCCAAATATGCTTATCACAACCACAAGAGAAAAATAAATATTTTCTATGTTGGCTCTGAGACTACATTGTTGCCAGTTCAAACAATCAGCCAATGAAGAACAAAGTGTCACCTTCTTACAAAAAGAAAAAAAAAAAAAGGAACTTGAAAATGGAAGATGCCAACCCCAGCTTTCAGTTAACTTAGCTTCCAGTATTTGTGAAACTGAAGTACTGATGGAAGAGGCAGTGACCTTTCCTTTGCCTTCCTCACTGCTCCAAGTTTTGGTTCTCAGCAGTGACATCTCTCAACTTCGCTGTATTACTGATCTTGCTCAGCTGCCTTTCCAGTGCCTCTGCATTCTCTCAAACCCTGCTGCCTTTCCCCTAAATCTGTCCTACACTTCTCTTCCTGTCCTCTTTCCAACTGCCTTATGAGGACAGATGATGGAATACAGCAAAGGGTCACAGAACCAGGAAAGCAGCTGTTTCTTTGCTATCCAAACTGCTTCTTGTTCTGTCAGCCCCTACTCTGCCACCTCCAGCTGTGACTCTTGACCAGACCACAGTTCGCCTTCTACAGCTCTCCCCAGGGCTCTTCCTGTCCTCTGACACTTTCAGCTCAGATGACAAAAAAATACCTCCTCCTACACAGCAGCCAAAAACTGGCAGCACGCGCACTTTGATTCCCTGAGGGCAAGGCAAGTCATTCTGAGGGCAAGGCAAGTCATTCCCTTTCAGATCCTTCCTGGCAACTTTAACCTCACTTTCCCTTCTGGGGGAGAAGGGCCAGGGCAGGCAACAGTCAAAAACAGAGCACATAATGTCAAGTGTAGAAGACATTTCATTTACCTCGTTCATCCCCAGAGATTGTGAACTTGTGTGGACGTTGTCCAGTCCATAAGCCTACGTAGCCAAGAAATGTGGTGCCTTGGTACGCTACCTGAAACCAGGAAACAGAACAGAACACCACTTAAAATACTAGTAACATTTGGAAGCAGCACCCTGTCCTTCTTTCTCTGACTTTCATACTTAAGTTGCTTTAAAATACTGTGCCTTAAATTACAGTAAAACTTGCCAAGTAAACTATAAAAAGACCGAGGCCCCAAATTCACTGCATTTCATTTGTTAGTGATCACCAGCTGCTACAGGAGTTTAGCTCAAATTAGCCAGCAGCCAAGCAAGAAACAAACAGCAAGTTTCCATCTGCAAAATGGACTAATGAACATGAACAAATTCACACTAAGACTGTACTAGTAACTAATTCGTCTTTTGAAATCTTGACCCAAAACCACACACGCTGGTTGAAAAACTAGAAAGGTCTAAAAAGTAAGCCTTAGAACTGATCCCTGCCAAAACTGATCTCTTGTTTTCTGCAGTACTTTTCTTAGTATCTTGACATTTTTTTCTTTCAACACCTCCTTTCAAATAACCATCTTGAGAATCTTTATTATGCTGTTCTATTTTCTCCAATGCATCACCATAAACTGGATGTCCAGAAAGCAAAGAAAACCTGTGTTCATCCCACACTCCTGGAGACTAACTGTGCTGCTCTAACAATCCAGTCTATGTGGGATGGGAACACATTCCTACATTAAATCCCCCTATCTAAGCAGCTATAGGACAGACCATCCAGCTGAGCCAATCCCAGACCATACCTGCCCACTCTTTATAAACTGCACATCAACTGTGATCTTGCTCAATATATCGACAAAATCATAATCCAGGTTCCGACCGTGGTAAATGTTCCCTTTGTCATCCTGAGCAACAATGCTTGTACAGAACCTGCAAACACACCAGACAAAAATCAGTGACTATAGAGTTGTGACAGTGTTATAGTCAAAACAGATCAACCTTTCAGGAAGAACTGGGTTCTGATAGGTATTTTATTAATGTTTCCATACAAATAGGAGTTTGCTCAAAGTCCAGTGACACACTACAGTCAAGAAATCAGGTCAGAAACCACAGAGCAGGCAGAGAGCAGCACTTCCACTCAGGGAAAGTCGTTACCTCTTCTAAATCACAATCTTCTAAATCACAATGAAAAGCTGACATGTCAAAACACCCACAAAGTGTCCTGCTCTCTGCATTTAATTTTGATAGATCATTTCACTTCAATTGGGACCATGTTTATATTTGTAGCCATAACTAGATAAGTTCAAACTAAGTCCTTTCAGTGAAACTGATGCAAACAGTTGTTCAAGTATCAGCCATTTCAGTAAGAGACTAATCTCTAGAACAGCAAGTGTGTTCAAACTCCTTGTGTAACACTTTGATTTTAATTGAAACAGGTTTTTTATGGAATATATTCCATTAGCAAGAAATTAACAACTTATTTCCTCTAGAGTTAGAAGTTTCTTCTCAGTGATGCACAACCCCGTCTCTCAAAAATATAAAGGTAAAAAATGCCTCATGCAACTAGGTTGTTCCCAGTTGAGGGTTTTTTTTTTTAGAATCCACGCTCAGAAAGTTGCGTGCATCTTACCAGGGCTAAATATGATAAGCATCATCTGTGAAACACTAACAAAAGCCAGCATTTAAATAAGTATCATGTCCAATATTAGCACTTACTAAAAAAAAAAAAAAAAAGATCACTAACTGAATATCACACATTAAAAAAAACCAAAAAACCAATCAAAATGCAAAGAAGTGGCTGTATACCCTGAATTTTTGTAAAACCCGTATGGAGAAACCTTTTTAGTATCCTCACAGGTAACCCCAAGTGTTCATTATTTTTCTGTACATGCTTCTAAAGCAAAAGAACAGAATGAAACTATTTTTTCCGCTGAAGTTCTGATTGCTGTTATAAATATTTCAGCCATTTTCCATTATGCAAATCACAGAGCGACATTATGCAGTCATTGTGAGCATTCATCCCCAAAGTGGTTTAGAGTAACTTTATCTCAGACAAATAGTTTAAATAATGAAATGGCAACTAATTGTTCTAGCTGCCTTTTGGGTGATTTTACACGACAGAAGACTATCTTATATGATCTTTAAAGATAAACCATCCCAACTACTTTGAATGGAGGGATCTACCTTATTAGCAGAAATTTTCAGATTTTTATCCACTTACATAGATGTATGTACACAAGAACACAACAGCTAGATTTTACTTTCACTAAGCCATAGGAAAACAACTTTCTCTTTCCATGCAGGATCCAAACTGCCTAACGAGATTGAAGCCTTGCAGCTGAAGACATGACACGGTCCGAGAAGGAACAGCACAAGTGACCTGCCTTGCTGTGCCTCCTCCCACGCTGAACTGCCCGAAGTTGTACCCCTGCTCACACCAGACGCTGTAAGTACCGCACACTTACGCAGTGGACTCGTAGGCGAAGTTGAGCAGGATTCCATCTCCCAGACTGATTCCCAGTGCTTGGCACAGCCCCACAATCTCCCCCGCGAAGGGCTGCGGCATGAATTGCTCCAGCTCCGCTGCTATGGGCCGGATGACCTGGTGCACCCATTTCGGGACGCTCTCGCTGCAAAACACCCGAGGCGTTAGCCGAGCGAGGGACAGCGGTGCCAGCACCGCTGCCACCCACCCCGACACCTCCCCGTGAGCGCTCCCCGGGCGCTGCGGGCACCCCCCCGGACGGCACTCACTCGATGACCCGGGCCACGGCGGCGCGCAGGAAGGCGGGATCGAAGTGTCTCAGCACGGGCAGCCAGCGCTGCTCGGCCGGGCTGTCCAGGCTCACGTTGCAGCGCAGTGGGGCCACCGCCGCGGCCACCCCGCACAGCAGCGCCAGCAGCGCCCACGGCCCGCAGCCCATGGCGCAGCACAGCGCGGGGCCCCGCGGCCAGCCCGCCTTCCTCGCAGCCACAGCAACCACAGCAGCCACGCCCGCCGGGCAGGGCCGGGACACGGCAGCGCCCGCCCCGAGGCGTGCCCGCCGGGCCGGCCCGCAGCCGGCACCCCCGCACCTCGGGCACGACACAGGGTGACAAAGTAACCACCGAAACCGGTACAGGCTACCGCTTAACACGGGCATTGCCCCCGCGCTTCTGCTTGCCAAAGTTTATAGAGGCAGTCCAACACTGTCCTTTTTACAAGGAGGGCAGGGGACAGACAGACTTGGCAGTAACTGGGCATAGCTCAGCTTGCTGGGTCACACAGCAGGGCTGTAAACAAGAGGGAAAAGAGGACACTAGATACTTGTTCTGAACTCCGAGAGCAAAACTCCCCTCTCCCTTTCAGCCTCAGAAATCATTAGTTTTTGAACACATCCACATGAAGGGAAGCCACTCAGTTCTTCAGCACAAAACGAACAAGAACAGCAGAAGTGGGCTTTATACAAGAACACACTGTACTTGCCCTGTCTTACCCTTATCTTTGTCTCTTCAGCCCCTTCTCCACACTCCATCCCCACACCTACTGCAGGTCCTCTGCATCCCCTTCCATCTCTGGGCTACACATCCTTGACCTGGCCAGCTCACTGCTGGCAATTGCCAAGTAGCCATTTCTGCCATTCCCTCAGCAGTAACATACAGTTGCAATACAAGATGGCAATTTGTAAGAAAATCCTACTTGGTTCTTCTCTCCTGGCTCCCTGTAACCTCTGTAAGCTTTTTTGGTCTAGGAATATTGTGACAAAACAATACACAATCAATATTATTAGGAATTAAAGTAAATAGAAATACATATTCAACATGAAAAATAGCAAAACTGCACTAATTCCCACATAGAAGATAAGCAGTAACCCAGCTTCCAAAAAATAAAGGAAAAAAGCACCCCACCAAATGCTTTTCCATTACACTGTGCTTGTGGCACCTGTTCCTGCCCCACTAGGAAATCCATTTCAAACAGATTTTGACCAAGGATGTTATAAATAAATCCCTCAAGTTATAATTTATCAACTCCATTAAAACAGGTGGCTGGGGAAGGTACAAAGCCCATTCATGGTCCCAGCAGAGGTCAGTGCTGAAGCACAAGTTAAACCTTACATAAAGAATCCAGAGATGTACATTTTTCTCACATGTACTTGCCAAGAGACACCAGCCAGTCCCTCCCTTAGACCCACCAATATAGGAAAACATTCCTTTTTCTCTCTGGCATATAAGGGTAGCATCCTATTTAAATGGCAACATGAAAACCATCTCCCATATACTAATTTTATTTTCTTCATGAGCTGCAGTCACACTGATCTTACTTGAGCTTACCTGAATTACACAAGAATTTGTGTGATTAGATTAGTCCAAGACAGCTGCTCAAACACCTTACTCAAGTCTGTACAGCCACACCCCTAAGACATGCACAGACACGACCTACACATGCTTTGTAGACTGACAAGAATATTCTTTGCTTCCCATTACTTATTCAAGAATTGCCTCAAGTCAAATATTTTAACAATAAGGTTGTGTATTTTAATACTTACACTTACAGTGGGTTGTATGTTAATTACATTAAATAGAAAGAAAATCGCCTTCTCCCCCAGAATGCTTTAAAAATAAAATTAAAACCCTCCCAAGTTTAAGGGCTCTATCTGTCCTATAGATGCAGAATCCATCAGCTTGCAAGAGCTCCAGTTTTAACTCTGAAGAGAGGTAAATCCATAAGGCACCACAGTCCCTCTTTCCCTCAGGGGGATGGTGGGTGGAAACAAGTATTTCCAGGGCTATTTCTTCAAAGGTGATTAAGTTCTCTTCAGCTCTTATTTCAGCAGCTTTTTCCTCTTTTTCAGAAGTGCATCTCGAAGAGCAATCTGAACATGAGACAAGAGTGGAATGATCAGGTAAGGAGAAAAATAACTGACACAACACCCCAATCACATCAACCATATTTTTCAATTTCTTTAACCTCTGAGAAAAACACTAAGAGCTCATCAGCTCCAACTGGGAGCAACAATAGCAAATGTTAACTACAATGGCAGAAACACTTATTTTAGCTGAACTCCACAGTACAATTAAAGGGGTGAGCAATACCAAATACTACACAATATAACATAAACTGTTCTTCCACTGACTCATTTTAATCAGAAGACATCAAGACAAAGCTCCAGCTCAGATAAGAGGTAAGTAAAAATGTTATTTTGGGAAGGCATATGACAAAACTTCTTTTCAAGGGGCAAGGAAGAATGTTTACAAGTACCACATCACTCTAGAGAGATATTGTACATTTCAGACATGGTTTAGCTGGTAAAGGATCTAGTGGTAGAACTGTAGACAACAGGCTATTTTATTTTGCCACCCAGAAGTGCTGCAGAATGCAGTGTCACACAACTATGGTCCTCCAACCCACTCATAGAAGTTATTTGCAAGTCATGTTTAATGGAACTGATACTGTAGCATAACACCAGTGAAAAAGTATGAATAAATGGTTCTTTCATTGTTTCGCCATTATATTTAACTCTAAACATTAGTCAGGATTAAGAACAAAACATTCAAGATGGTTTTTTATAAGTGAGCCAAGAACCACTGTCAACAGCAGCTTTCTGGAAGTGCCTGGATTGTTTATTTGCAACCTATTTTGTGTGTTTTGAGAGCAGGGTTAATATAGTCAGCCTTAGGTGAGGCAGATCAAAATACCACAGGGGATATTAGTCTACATCTTCCTGTTTAACAGAAACACTTAAGACACTCTCTACTGAGTCTATAGACAGCTACAGTCTTGCCATTCTCAAGGCAACAAATGGCAAACTAATACACATTATCCAAATGATATGATCCTGCAACACATCACAAAAGAAGCCTCGGAAAGCACTAACAAGACAAACTAGCAAGGAGAAAAAAAAACCACCACATATAAGACAACTACATAACTGGATTATTCTACAAATTTCTGGGACATGTCCTGGATAAATTCAGTTTACGAACACCTTGTGAAACCCTGGACTGGCAGGGGCCTCACCACTGAGAGCAGCATTACAGTCAAACTACTGCTCAACTGATTTATTTTTCCCAGCTTGCTTCAGGTGGCAATAAATGTCCTTAAAGAACAGCTGTAAATGCTAGTTGTGACAAGCTATTAGATGACCTCAAGGCCAGGACAGATGAGTTCATAACACAATAGTAACAGGACAAAGGTCAAAGAAAGACTATGGAGAGTGAAGAAACACACTGAAAGCTTGCCTTTAGAAAGAACTCCATACCACAGAAACATTCCTTCTATCACAGAATTACATTCAGGATTCTATTATGATATCTTCAATGCATGTAAAGGAAAGCAAAACCTGCCTAACCTACACTTGACTCTGCACCAGGGCTTGCACCTCAAAATACTTTAGAGGAGCCTGTCAGAAACGTTCACTACAGTCTCCAATACAGCTCCTCCTCTGGGGCATGATTCAGGGAAGCCAAGCCCACAGGCTTTGCAGCCATTACACCATCCAAGTTAGCAGCAACACCTCAGGATACAGAGTGCACAGCATTACACCTGCACTTGGAGTTTGAGCTCACACAGCCCCATCCTCTTCCAGCACTCATCATTACCTGTTTCTCCCTGAAGGAACGCTTGTTCTTGGTCCGGACACTATGGCTGTATCTCATCATCATGAAGTTCTTGTTCTTTTTCTTCTCTTTGTTGGAAGAGCTGGCAAAGGGGTTAATTCTTGTCTTCTTTTTCACAAATTCTTTCCTGTCTGTTTTTCCAGCCTAGAATAAACATTGTAGTAGAATAACATGAGGTTATTTCATTTTGCTTCCCCACAGTCAACATCAGCTGCCTGATGGTAACAGGTTCTATGGCGTAACAATAAACTTGGATTTAGGATGTTTTTGTGTCCACACCTGCGTTGTCCTATGCTGGCTGTATTTCTTAAGTCACAGTCAAAGTCGGGTGTGTTTGTACTTTCATGGTCATATGTGACCAGCAACAGGCTGTTTCTTGCAACCAAAGTGCAACAGCAAAACACTGAAATCATTTCTCAAGATGCAAATAGCAGCTGGGCATCCATCTTACAGATGCAACCCCAACACCCCCTCTTTCTGCAGAAGGCAAACATGAGTCTGCAAAGACAAGACACAAAACATCCCAGTTCCTCACCATTGCAGTTGCCAGTCTGGTCTCCTTGTCTGACTTGGGCTTCTTATGCAGATGTTCAATATCTCTGAGTGAAAGCAACTCTCCCCTACACAAACAGAAATCCAGCAAAAGGTCACCACCCACAAAACTTCACCTGGTAAGGAAAACAAGATGCCCTCTTGCTCTCTAACCCATCTCTTACACCACTGTCTTACTGTAAGCTCAGGCACAAACTTCTTGTTCTCTTTCAGGTTATTCCTCATGCATGGGACATCCCCCTCAAAAGCTGCCATTACTGTTTTTCAAGTCCTGCTTTATCCACAATTTCACAAACTCTGGAGAAATAACCATGCAACTACTGCTACCGCTCTTGGCCTGAACAACCCAAACAGGCTCAGACCTTTCATAGGCCCCTCCTATCTTTTCTCCCAGGTCCAATGCTGAGCCAGGATCTATTCTAGGCCACAGCTGTTTGCTACCTGTCTCCAGGGAATATTGTATAACAGTAGAGCTCTGTACCCTGCTGCAGTGAAAAGCTATTTCACCAGATAACAGTCCATATCCTACCTGCCCTCTTCCTCCTCATCATCTATTTCAATGTATTTCCTCTTTGCAGCTTTGCCAGGCGCAGAATTTATTTCTTTAGAAAGCTGGGCAAGACGTATTTTCTGAAAGTCTTCCTGAGTCAGCAGCCTGCTCGTACTGACTGCTGCAGCTTTGGCTTTCCGCTCCTCTATGGGCATGCTTTTCACCTTCTCTGCCTTGGGAAAAGAAACACGTACAAAACAATCACATAGAGCTTGGCCAGCCACTTCTGTGCCACAATCTATGACCCTGACATATTTAGCATGTAAGGGTAGTATTGTTGGGAAATGCTACAACCAGCTGTTAGGATTCCTCTTAGTCTTATATCCAACATCTAGTGTTTGAACAGATTACATACATACCCTATTTTAGGATAAGTACAAGCACTCACATAAATATCACAGCTCTGAGACAGCATTCCCCCTTCTGCCCCCAAGGTATGTACTTCAGCACAGTACTAAGCAGTATTCAAATCTCATTTCTCCTGCACAGGTTACACTGAAGCCCTGTATAATTATTTATGAGCAGCCACATAAAAGTATAGAGCATCAGAATCTTGTCTGCAATTAACAAGACCACTGTATATTTGAGACAGCAGACTTGGAACTCACTACTTGTTGCTGCTCCTCATCTGAGGAGTGATGCACATCAATCCACTCTCCATCTTCATTGTCCTCCTCACTCAGACTAGCACTTTCCCAGCCATCTGCAGGGAAGAAATATAGACCAGTTAATGTGGACTCAACTACCTGAATGTGCTTTATAGCTACCTTACTACACTGTGTGTGTTGCCCCTCTTTGCTGCTGTTCTGACTGAAGTGCTGACTTTAGCACCTTCAGAACCAAGCAGATTGTTACACTAATCACTGCATTCTCGTGCCTAAATAGCATGGCATCTCAGGGCATTTATTCCTCCCATCACCTCCCTTGCAACATCTTCAAAGCACTCTGGCTTCATTTCCCAAACTCTGCCTTGCTTTCAAAGACTCCTCCATCTCTTTTCCCTCATTCAGGTGGGTGCTCAAGGTTGCGTAAAGCATTTGCACAGAAAGTGAGTTTAAGCCACATATTACGTCCTAGTGCTGTTTCAGTGTCTGATAATTCTCAACAACCTGTCTTCAGCAGGAGCTAAACATAGCATGTTTGATAGCTGTACAATGTGTCTCTGCTTTTCCATCCCATAAAGCAACACAGCAACAAACCCCACTAATGCACTTCAAGGGTACAGGGAAGTGCAAGCTACACAGGAAGGCAGAAAAATGAAATGCACAAACACCAAGTGTTACATGAAATCTTACTGATAGTGATGCCCAAAATACAATTTAAAAAAAAGAAAAAAAAGGTTTACCTTCCTCTTGGGTTCCTCCCTTTTCCTTTTCATCCTCAACCTCCAGTACTTCTGCTCCTGGAATGTAGTCTTTGGCATCCAGTTCTCCATATTCATGGATCCTGGCTTCCACTGAGGCCTCAGTAGGCTTACCCTGTACATTAAAAAAGAGTACATTAAGCAGGCTGCTATTTTAGTGCCCACAAAACCATGAAAATATCTGGTAGAAGAGGAGGGTGTGGCTGGAAAAAGATAAAGTTTGCTTGATGAAATAAAGATCTTAATTACTGAAGTTGAAAGAACTCTAGCCAAAGAGCTCACCTTCTGGACCACAATCTAGCCATGAGTTAGATGAATTTGAACTAAGGAAAAGTGGAAATAAGAGCAGACCACGTCCAAAGGTAGCAGGCAGGGGAAGAACACAGGCTGGATTCCACCTCATGCTGAAGAGGCCACTGAGACCAGTTATTTTTGAGCACCTTAGTTCCCAGTGAACGCAATGCACATGAAATACTTACCCTGAACTTCTTCTGCAGCATCTCTGGGTTCAGGGAGCGGAACAGGTGTATCAGAGTTCTTGCAGACATCATCACATCTACCCAGGAACAGAGTCAGGAGTCAGTACCAAAAACCAGAATTCTGAGCAAACAAAGCCCACTCAGGTCATCAGCACTTACAGCCTTCTCTGAACTTATGGCTCCCTCTGATTTCTCTGCTGCAGAACACAGCACTTCCTTAGAGCTTGCTCTTAATCCATTTCCTTTTTTATCTTGGTCAGTTATTTCCCCTGCCATAACTACTCGTGACTTTTGCCTCCCATGGATACACACTCCAAACACAGCAATATAACCCAAATACTC